GCGAAGAAAAATACGCAAAGCGAAAGTTTGGCCTGTCATTTCTTTTTCTACTTTCTTTAAAAAGCAAATAAAAACATTAGATGAAAACAATGTCATTATCTGGTTTAATTTACAAGCAGTCAATTTTTTTTATTTATTTTTATTTGAAAAAGATCCTTTTCCACAAAGGTCGCCAACAAAAATAAAAAATAAAGTACAAATCTGTTGTGTACTTAAAATGTGACATAATATTATGAAATAGGAATATAGGATGTTCGTGTGTGCATAATGGAGACATATTAACTTGTGTACGCAAGTATATATATATGTTAGCCAGCAAAATATTCCAGCAGCATCCCAATATCGGATCCTCAGGATAGGGAACTTTGCTTCCTGTCGCATTGGAAATTCAGACATGTATGTTTTGACACTTTGACTAATTACTCAAATTTTCAATGTTTTGGGGTCTAAATTATTTCACGTCATTAAAGAAATGATGACCGATCGCTATAAAATTCCGATTGATGACAACATTTTTTTTTTTGAATTAAAATTTGCTACCCAAGCATTTTTGATGACAACATTTTTTTTTTTTTTTGAATTAAAATTTGCTACCCAAGCATTTCGAGTCACACGGTGCTACTCATTTAACTCCTGTCAATAACAAGTAAGAAAACCATCTAACCTAGTTCTGACTAATTCATATTCGAGTCGGATAAATATCTTTATCAAAAAGTATCTTTTCTTAATATCAATTTTATATAATATTTAATTATATTTCATCCTGATTATCTTTTTTATTGTACTATTTCAACATATAAAGATAATTATTTTGAGACATCCATATTGGAAAAATAAGAAAAATCTTGATCCATAATTTAGTGTGGGGGAATTTATTCTACTTTAAAGGAGTGTGTCTCAGGCTAGAGAGACATACCAACCTCCTCCAATAGATATAACCTTGCTCCATTAATTGACATCCCCTATCATAACACTGATTTTTTCCTATATAAAATTATTTGTATTTTTTCCACTTGAAGAATTTACTCAAAGTAGTATATTAATTAAAATTTGCAAAACTTGTTGAGTGTCAAATAATAAATGTAGTCTATTATTAATGTGGGACATAAAAAATGTCACTAATCAACAAATTCAAAATACGAACTCTCCTTGTCAAAAAAGAAAAAAAAAAAAAAAAGAACTCTTCATGCAACGTCTCGTCGGCTTTAAACGAAGCAAAGACGGGAAGAAAGAAAGAGCAACGAACCGAACGATATGGTAGTCAAATCACAAAAAAAAAAAAAAAATTAATACACCATATATAATCTAATGTAGAATTTCCGATCCGTATTCATATTCATATCCTGCGTTCCAAGCATTTTTTTTTTTTTTTACAAAGGTGTAGTTATAGTCATGTCAATTTGGAGTGGAAAGAAATTAAAAATTTCTCATAAAGATAAAATTCAGAAAACTCAAAAAATAATGTAAAATAATCAGTGATAAATTTTAATTATTTCAAAACATTATTATCTCTAAAATTATAATTTGGGAACGCTCTAAAGAAAAGTTAGGGCATCCGTTAGCAACACCCTTTAACTTTGTTGGTGGAAAGACCATCATATATAAAGAGAGCATAGGATGCTCAACATTCAGAGGAGTTGGGAGCAACATTTTCAGCACGACAGCACCTATATAAGCTACTGCATTTCACTTACAATCATGTCAAGATTGAAAAAAAGGACTCAAAATCTACAGTTACACAAACACTAGAGACAATTACTAGCTCATAATTATATGTCACGATTATCAAAGCCCAATTGAGCTTTGCTGAAATGACTTTGATTTGAGATCGTCTTAGTAATCTGCGGCATAATTAGACAACAAATTTTGGCCCAATCATCTCTATTTGTTACAACTATTGTTTCCCATTCATGAATCAATCATTCTAAATTAGGTAAACATTTTTTATAATCTTTTTTGGTTAGATATATTCATAATTTGCTAATATGTTCCTCCATCCCAAATGAAAAACATTCATTTTCAACTGAAAGAGTACTCCCTCTTGTCCTTAATATAAAACATTTTGATTTGTCTTAAATTTAACTTAGTACGCAATTTTAATTGATAAAAAAATCTTAAACATATTTTGTACTCCCTCCGTCCCATAATTATTGTCCAGTTTTACTAAAATGAAAGATTTTATCTTTGGTCAAACTTAACTATATTTTACCTTAAACAACCGGATATACCCCTACATAAGTAATTGTTTAACCACTAAGATTTTATGGATAATGTTTTTTACTAAGGACAAATATATAACTTGATCCATAAAAAGTCAAATTGGACAATAATTTTAGGACAAAATTTTTTGGGCAAAGTGGACAATAATTGTGGGACGGAGGGAGTAACATTCAAGAGAATACGACGAATGTAAATATATATTATTAAGGTTTTTTTGTCAATTAAAAATGCATACTAGGTAAAATACATAACAAATCAAAATGTCTTATATTAAGGACCGAGGCAATATTAATTATATTATATATTTGTTGGGTTATTAGGGTTTTTCCCACTTTCCCCAAACATTACTTCCAGTTGGTTTGTTAGAACTACGTACTGTACTCGTATTTGAGTTGTCGCTTAGTCGTTTATAGAGGGAGTTCAAATTATCATCCAGGTTAATTTGGGATTTTTCATAAACTTCAAAAACTGGTAGAAAATGAGAAAAATTAAAGTAAATGATATAAGAAAATCATAGCTATGGAGCAAAATGGTCAACAGTTGACACACAGGATGTGATTAATCAACTTCAAAAAGATACATGATCAATTACTCCTGTCATCATATAAAAATTATTTATGGTTACTCATTATTATATTATTTCCGATAATAAATATGACTTGTATTTTGGGACGGAACTAGGCTACATATTTATTACGATATAATCCGGGGTTAACATTCAAGTTAACGTGTGCAACTTTTATTGGGAGTTGAAGATGCATATGTTAAATCATGCCCACGCTCCTCTAAAAAGCTTTAAAAGTCATTGGAGGGGTACTTCCCCCCTTCAATTAACAAATCATATGACTATTGCCGATTTGTCTGATGTAAAGTAAAGAATGATGGGGCAACTTAAAGGGCTATCCATCCTTTTGTCACTTGTAACCATTCACTTTTTTCTACTTTCTTCTTGCATTCACCATTTCCCCTTTCTTAAGTTTTTATATTTTTATTATAAAAATTGCAAAATAAGTCACAGTGAATCTGCCAAAAAAGTGAGGTTTATTTATCCACACTGACATAGCCTCTTATTTAAATTAATATTCTCTCCATCCCAAAATTATTGTCCAGTTTAGATTTTCGCTTTCAGTTTAATTTGTACTAAAAATGAAATTCCAAATCGGATAATAATTTTGGGACGGAGGGGGTAATAATTTGGTTAAGTAGAACTGTGGGAAGTTATGATTAAATTAACTTGCTGGGTTATACTTTCCATATGATATGAGTGTGCTCACGTGACAAGATCAGTATTAGGGAAAATCATGATCATTTATATACTGTCGATTCACTAAGAGATGACATGTATACAACATTATAAACAAAGAGATCGGTCATCCGTTCAGATTCTCAGAGATCAGATTAATTTCTAGATCAATTTATGTGCATTAATGCGTCTTATTCTTAAATCTATTACATTATTATGTATTTTAAGTTCCAATCTCAGCGAGATGGTAATGTTCTCTTGATTGAAAAATAAAAAAAGAAAGTGAACAAGATATTATATTATTTGACATCATGTTATTGCGTAAAAAGTCATATACTTGAACGAAATCATGGCTCGTAAAACAATATGCAAATTACAAATTGAGATAATCCTCTTAATTAAGCTAGTCTCAACCTCTTAAGTCCTAAGTGACAGACTTGATATGCCACCGAATAATTTGTTTAAAAAAAACGCTCAATAGTATATCCAATTCGCCGTCTGGATATTATTCTAGATTTGTTATTGTATATAGTTTATTGCTATAATACTATCCTCACATCACTATTTGCTCTGGCGTAGATTAATTATTTTGCACGAGTTGAGAATTACATTGCTAATTATTGTATGATCCTACTATACAAAGAGTTTAAGTAATAGGACAAACTAAGTGTACGTGTATCATCGATTAACTACAACCAAACTCTTTCACTTCATAAACTAAGTAAAGAGATAAGATAAAAATTGATACCACCATATATGAATTCAATATTTCCTTTTCTGTCGATTATTTTGAAAAACCTAATAAGACAATGGCATCTTTACGGCCTAGACAACGAAAATGAGGGTAGTGAGGCGACATTTTGATATTCTTCTTGCATTGTAGTAAACTTAATTTCTTAAATAATCAACGTTAAAGACTATTAATCCAAGAAAATCACTTTTTTAAAAATTTTGAAAGTTGATGAGCAAATATAATAATATATGTTAATTCAAAATTTGTTAGGGTTTTGATTCTTGAGCTTGTATAAAATTTTACCTGGCCGTAGATAATAGAGTAATATAATAATCGCTTAGTGTAAGTTAAGTCTCAGCTAAAACAGAATTTCTTCTTAACATTTCCTCCTTTTGGAAATAGTTAATATCAAAATGTTGGAGCTGGGTGCATTGTTATTTATTTGTCACCTCATTTCTCATTTGCTCAATAATTCGCTCAGATGAATGTTAGAAGTCCACGTGCATGGTAATCTGATCATTCATGTGCAATCTTAAATGCTACAAATCAGGGAAACTGGTATTGATGCGACCTGTATGACCAATAATCTCATGTAAATTTACGACATTGATATATGATCAATTTAATCAATCATTCTTGTTGGGAAATCGACAAATTGTAATTAGCCTCATTACAATCCAAGCATTCATAACATAATTGACTAATACTTACTTACTCCCGTACAAAAATTTTCATATTGGTTCTTTCTTGAACCATTTTCACTTAACGAACTTAGAATCCCAACATCATATTTATTCTTCTTAAAATTTTTCTACTTTTACTTTTCCATCCAACCCGCTCAACCTTTTAATATAATCTTACAACATTCGAAATTCGCCATTTTAAATCCTGTCACAACTATAATTACAATTTAGTCGCTATTCTTCAGTGATGCGTTATCACTAGTTTTTTTTGCCCATTATATCACTATTATTTTACATCAATTTGGGCTTGACTTTTTCGAGATATATCTTTTGGTCCAGATATTTTTGACTTACCTAGAAAATAAAATAGCAAAATGAAAAAACAAAAAACAAAAACCAAAAATTAAAAAGAGAGCCAACTATTTATATTCAAAGACATGAGGTAGACAACCAGCAAACACGAAAACCTAACCCCCCCAATCGCCCCTCTCACTGTCAAACTTCCCATACTCTCCAACAACATCATCATCATCAATATCTCCGGGGAAACTCCGACCAATCTCCGACGAGCACTAAAAAAACCATCAAAAAATGAAAAGCAAAGAATGAAGAACGTCAACAGATTACCATCATCTTCATCATCATCAACATCATGTCACTTTCTTACTCCGACTGCTTCTCCGACCTACTATGCAGCGAGGATTCCGGGACGGTATTATCCGGCGAAGACCACCCGGAATGCTCGTCGGAGATTGATTCCCGGCTGCCACCCCCGGAGGACTTGGAGGAATCCATCGAAATATTCATTAAACACGAGAGAAACTACGTGCCCGGAAAAGATTATGCGGAGAGGTTTCAATCCCAATCCATAGATGCCTCCGCCAGAGCCGAATCCATTGCATGGATTCTCAAGGTACATTCTTTCTTTCATTTTACTTTTTGGTTTTGGGCGGACTTGACGGCGGCGCGCGGTTTTGGGCGGTGGCGCCAAGTTTTAATGGATTTCCGTGATTCCGTCCTAGGTGGCATTAGCGTTGACTAAAAACCTTGAAATATGTTTGTTCCGGTTTGATGCAGGTACAACGTTACTATGGTTTCCAGCCACTAACGGCGTATCTCTCCGTCAACTATTTCGATCGAGTTCTCTACTCCCGTTCTTTGCCGGTAATCTCATCAAATCATGCATCATCGTCAAGTGTCCACCAAAAAATTAATTAATTTTTTTGTCAAAGAAAAAAAAGGAAATAATTATATTCTCTTCTTTTTTTTTTTTTGTGTCTAAAATGAAAAAGAAAATCATCAGTGCCCTGACCTCTGGAGCGGAGGAGCGTCTGTTTTGGTTAATATTATAAAAATAATAATAATTATTATTAGTATTATGATATGAAATGAAAAGGTTTTTTGTCGACTTTTCAAACATTATGAAAAGGACTTCACTATATACTAGAATCGTGTCGGGTTTAATTCAATGATACAGTGAAAGCGTAGGCTTTTGTAAGTATGTGCGGAATTATTATTATGCTGCGTATAAATGTCGTATGCGTAACACACTTAATAAAGTTATTACACTGCATTAATCCAAGTCATTATGTAGAAAAGGTATCGATTTTGTATTGTACTTGTCGTTATTATGGGGTATTAGTACTATTTTTAAAATCTCCTTGTACTTTTCTGGGTTTTGATAATTCATAAAAAGTAGTATGACATTTCTTGTCCTTGCTTTTCTTTCGTTGTTAATCTCTATCAAACTCGGTAAAGTATAGTTGTCATTCTTAATCATTAAAACAGTATTATAAAGTGTATGTATACTCGTATGACCTTTGGAGGAGTTTGGACATGATCTGGAAGGCACTTTTTTTTTTTTCCTCGTTTTCATGGTAAAAATATATTTTCGCACTTATGATTAAAGATTTTGACTAAAAACTACACTTCGTGCGGATTGTGTGGCTCACTTGTAGGGGGAGAATCATTAGGGAAAATAAAACGATTCTAAATGACGATATGTGACGGAAGAAAATGGACTATTAATATGTGACGGAAGAAATAATTAATAGGTTCGATGTGACTTTCGTATACTACTACTACTAACTAATGTCTAATAAGTTAGTTTATTTAGGTACCTAATTTTGTTTCCTTTTAAAATACTAACATGCTTGAGCACGCTTGTTAGTAGCTTATAATCCTTAAACCTCAAAAAGTCTCCATTACGAAGATACCTTTGTCTCTTCTGATGCGTAATATTCTTCCCGAACCTCATCAAGATTAGTATATAATTCCATCTTCTTCTTCTTTTTTCCCAGAAAACAAGCGGGTGGCCGATGCAACTACTATCTGTTGCCTGCTTGTCGTTAGCTGCTAAGATGGAGGAACCCCTGGTTCCTTCTCTTTTAGATCTTCAGGTAAATACCCTTTTGATCCCATTTTTCTTTTTTCTTTTTTTTTTTTTTTTGAAAAAGACCTTTAGAAATATTGAATGGTAATAATTAATACATCAATTTTTTAATTGGCTAATCGTCTTAATTAATTCACTGTAGATTGAAGGAGCAAAATATGTGTTTGAACCAAGGACAATCAGCAGAATGGAGCTTCTTGTGCTAAGTACATTGGATTGGAGGCTTCGATCCATAACTCCATTTAGCTTTATTGGCTTTTTTGCTCAAAAAGTCGATCCAACAGGAACTTATTCCAGTTTTCTTATTTCAAGGGCCAGCCAGATTATTTTATCCCATATTCAAGGTAGTACTATTTACACAACTTTTTCTACCATCTTTTTCTTTTGAGCAAAAAAAAAAAAATCCATTTGATATTTTTAGAGGAAATTTTAATTAATCTTCTCGCGTGCAACACGCATTATCCTGTGCGCATGCATGTGTATGTGTGCATGCATGTGGATCTAGTTACCATTTACGTAATGTCTCATTTATATTAAGTTTTAAAAGTATAACCTCTGAATTTCGGTCTTTTTTTCTTTAAAAAAATAAAATAAAATAAAATAACAGATGCTAGTTTTCTGGGGTACTGGCCATCCTGCATTGCTGCAGCAACAATCCTTTGCGCAGCGAGAGATCTGCCGCTCTTCTCTTTCCTGAATCCTGAATACGCTGAATCCTGGTGTGATGGACTCCAAAGAGTGAGGATCAATTTCCTTAATTATAAGCTACATTATTCATATTTAAATGGTATTGCAAATGTGACATTATTAGTGAATTTCATTCTTACTTGATCATTGGTTATTTCATTTCTTTTCCCACTATAAATAATGATCATTTATTCGAACAAATCTTAGTACTATGATCATCATTAACCTTTTTAACCTTCTTTGAGCATTAAATAACCTTTTTTTTTCTTTTTTGGTTTTTGAAGGAGAAATTAGTCAGCTGCTACCAGCTAATAATGCAGCAAATAGTGATGGATAGTAATAAGTCAAGAAAGACACCGAAGTTTTTACCACAACTTCGTGTCATGTCTCGGATGAGTCTTGCATCCAGCGAATCATCATCATCATCCCCATCATCAACCACATCATCATCTTCTTCATCATCCTCTTCTTCATCTAGTAAGAGAAGAAGATTGAATAATTACTTCTGGACAGATGATGACAAAGAAAGCTCTTGAAATCCACAAGGAAATAAAGGGGTTCTGTACAAACATTAAAAAACAGTGGTCCAGAAGAAGGGAGTCTTTTCGAGGGTTTTGATGAGAAATAAGAAAGGAAAGAAAAAAAAAGAAAAAGAAGACTAGTATATAGATATGTATTCATATAGTACATGTACATGTATGAGTGCTTGGAGATTTTTTTGATTTTTTTTAGGTGAAGCAAATGCCATCCATTTAATGGCTTTGCAGATTCCCAAGGGAAAGGGAATGGTTTCTGGTACATATATAATTTTGGTGTGTGACAAAGAAAGTCATGAAGGTGAGAGAGAAAAGAAGAAAGAAGAGAGGAGGATTTGTTTTTAATACTACTAGTGGAGTCATGGGGTGGTGATGGATTGGAGTGAATTGGCTTATTGAATTCAAAGACTGCATTGATTAATGAATGAAAAGGGTGCAAGATGGAGGGACCCTTTGCATTGGACTACAAGTGAAAAAAAAAAAAAAATTAGTAGGAGTTGGCAAAATTATGGGATTGCACTTTGAAGTTTGAGCTGTTCATGTGTTACAAGTCAAGCTCCTCAGGTAGGCCATCATGATTGATTCCTCTCCCTATATATTATCAATGGATTCAGTGGAGAAAAAGATCAAAGAATTGAGGAAGCAAGAAAAAGAAAATGGCCGGCTTTGCATCTTGATTTGCGCTAAGTATAGGTAATACTTAGAGTAATAATTTGCATTTGGATTTGCTCTAAGTATAGGGAATACTTAAGAGTAATTAATACTTCTTGATGGAGTTTTTGAGTGAAGTGTTTAGACGCTATTCATTTAGAATCATGGCGTTCTACACACGTGTGCATGTGTGTTATTTTTGGCGGGAATGGCCCTTTTATTTTTAGAGTCCTAACCATATACTTGGACATTTTCTTTTTTTCTGTCTTGGCACGTGTTATGGGTACACGTGTTAATTCTTTTTATAAATAGAGAGAATTTTTTGGGCTTGTTTGTAATAGATGGGGGATAATAGAGAAAGAGAAACAATCCTCCTTTGTTTAATGGCCTAATTTTGGCCTAATTATACAAGAAAAAAAAAAAAAGGTCTTGGGGGCCTTTTTCCAAATCACCGTGTTGTTCTTTATGGTTCCTTGATGAATATACATTCAAACATACACTGATATGCTAATTTCTTAAACCATGTCTATGTTGAAACTACGGGAACAACAGTACAATACATGTGCAATGAAGATGATTAAATATATATATATATATTTTTTATTTTGGGATGAATTCTATGTATTGTACCGTCACACATTTTTATTAGGAAGGTATATCATTTTGTATGGTACATCTCCATTGTACAAAATACGTACCTCCTTTATATCACTGTTATCTCTCTCAGATTGACCCAATTGATTTGCCATGCACGTGAATGACAATGGAGACTTTTGTAGCTTTGCCCTTTGTTTTTATTGCATTCAGAAAGATTTAAAGGAAACTTCTCTTTTATGTTCAAAGTTGGGATTTTTTTTTCTTTTTTTCTTTTTATTGTGAAGAATAAAACTTTTCTGTAAAGAGGGGGAGTACGCAGTAGTATACCCTATATGTCACATTTGGTCCCTCATAGCAATAAAAGAGAACGATCAGAGTGTTTTTTTCAAATCGATCTATACATCTATGAAGTTATGAACATGACTCCTAAATACTGTGCCATTCATCTCGTGGGCGGGTGACCCATGTTTGATTGTTTTCAGACAAAACATATAAGCCTCTTCATCATCTGATACGTTTCTTAGCCCACAAATTCTTTATCACTAGAGAGATCTTAAATTTATATGAATGGTATGTTAGCTTTTCCAGGGATTTCCTGAAATGTATGGGACCATAACTTGAGGGGAGGCTGTACCTGCCATCAACATGTGATTTCTCAGTTTTGCAATAATGTACTTTCATTTCATTCAGTTTGTAAAATATGAAAATCAATTTATTTTGTCCCACGCAATTAGATGCGTGGTGAGTCTTTAAATATTCGAAGTGCATTTAACTAGTTAAACGATATTGTTTTGGTTATGAACAGACATCCTAACTTGAATATTAGCCCTAAAACTCTCTGCCTTGGCGTTATATCTTTTGTACCATTAAATATAAATCATTCACAGGAATGGACCCTCACACGCGAGAAAATAAGGAAACAAAAAAGTGCTGTAAATTAATGAAATCAATTACTCTACGAGTTTGGTTTGATTTTAAAAGCGGGACTAGGGGAAATAAGGTCAAAAATTGATGACAAAGTTTCCAACTTCCAGTTCATACTGCATTGAATGATTGTGAGATAAATATATATGAGCAAGTTTATACTCTGACCGTTCCGAAATTATTATTCAGTTTAAGATTTTATTTTTAGTAGAAATTGTAATAAAAATGAATATTAAACTAGATAATAATTTTGGAACAGATGACATATATTGAAAATCGGAAAGACTACTTCAAAATCATTTTTTTAAAATATCCATGTAGTTCTTGATTATCATATAGTACATGAAAATGTTGCTCTAAATTAACTGCGTCAAAGACAGGCTTTTATGAAGTGTAGAGCCAAGGATTGAAAGTCAAGAGAAGGAAACAAATGCTCTTGACGTTTGTTATCAGAAATTGGACCCCAAGACTGATGGCCAATTCAGAGAAGTCGGGGAGGGACATAATTTAGCTGGTAATGGGACGGTTTTCTGATGAATACAAAATCACCCTAATTAATTTAGTATTCATTCATCAGTTTCTCGGAGGAGGGAGGGCCTCTCCCATTTTATTTCAGTTTGGATATATTCTCTCGGTAGTAAAAGAAACAAAGATTTTTAAATTAAAATTACATTGCGCCAAAATGCTTATTTTAGGCTGTGATTGTTCATTTTCATAAAGTTACGAATAATCTATCCTCTTTCGAATGATAGCCTAGTGGTTAGTATATTATCTTTTTTGATAATAGATCAGAATTCGATTTCCACCAAGAGATTTGTAAGAAGGGGTTTTACCGATATTTAAATAGGATCCACGTTTTAAAAAAACAATCTATTCTCTCTCGATGATCTGTTTTTGGTGGAGGTGTCATTTTGCGACTTGTATCCATTCAGTTTAGATCATATAGCAGGAAAGCTAAATTATGAACTTGAAAGGTAATCAACAACCCCATGATAATTACAAAAATGTTAATAAATATGCAAAAAGTAGCCAACCCCACGAAAACCAAAAAAATTTACACAAAGAAAAGGGGATTAAATTAAACATCAGTTAGGACAATGAATAGGACGAAACGGGGTGAGAGACAACAAAAAAACATTAACTCAGCTTATTACTTATGATCTCATCGAATAGGGAAAATTTTACACACAACACAACACACGTGCGCTTGAAATATCTACACATTGGTTCAATTCATGTGTGCAATATGGGTGTAGCCACTTACATATGCAATATCTCTTCATGTTCAACTCAAGTTCTAATATTAGTGGTTCTTACTTTTATATAGTTGATCCATTTGATAGTGTGTGAAATGCACAGTGGATGTGGCGACCTCATTGTGACGTTTCGTGTTCGTTCCATTGTAACAGATTTTAATATAAGGTTTTTTTTTTCTGGTTTTTAAAATTAGCTTGTATTGTCCAGGTCATGTTGAACACTTCTAATAAATCTTCATTTTCAGACCAAAGAAATGGAGAGTTGATTGAGGATGATGACTAGCTAGAGGATCTGGCATCCCTACCAACCAATGTGGAGAATGGACTTAAGGTGGCCTAAAAGAGTAATAAGACACGGTATAAGTCATTTTATAACTGTGAATAATGCCATTTTAACTCTCGATTTTGGTGTGATAAACGTACATATGTTATAGTATGTAAGAACAATTCTTGTATTGTTCTATATTGTAAGTTGAGACAACTAAGAGATGATGAAAGGGTTTGATTACACTATCTTTAATATCATAGCCTTGTGTTTTCTAAAATTTTGTTAACTCATTGCAACAATAGCAATATATAAAGGATGACAGTATGACACCAAAAAGAGAGGGGGAAAAAGTAGTGGAAAATACTGTCTAAAAGATACAAAGTCAGGCTTCAATATTATGTCCAAGTTTGTTATAATTTGATCATATCCAACCACGGTGCTCTCCAAAGAAGAATCCTAAGCACTGATTCTTTTTTTTTTTTCAGTCCCTTTTTCTCCTCTTTGGATGTAGGACATCGAAGCATGTATTGAACACATTGGCTGCCTCTTCATTTCACTGCTCTCTCTTTTTTTTTTTTTCTTTTCTATATATACTTTGATTTTGAACTTCATCTTCGCTTTTTAATTGATAACGAGAATTGATTATCAGATAACTATAGAGAAAAACATATTAAAGCAAAATAGTAACCAAGATGTTACTAATTGACAAAACTGAAATTATATTGTATGAATCATTTTTTTTGAGAGAGAGCAAATATAATGTTTACTCTCCTTTTCCACCTAAGTCATTTTCGATGTTATCACATACTACATGAGTGTGGTCATGACAAGAAAGAAGAGAGGGCAGAAGACCCTAGTATTTTAGGGAGGCAGCCTTTGAATCTTATTTTTGGTTGTAAAATCATGCTCGTGGGGTTCCCCTAAAAACTAAAAAGGTCGTATAGGTCCCGACCGTCCGGTGGGAGTACAAAAACCAAAAGCCTTCAAAAGTTAGAATGATATTGCTGATGAGTTTTGGGGGAAAAACAAACTTTATAGATTTTATGCTGAATGCAAGACAGCAACGCTCTCAATTACCAGCAAAATCACATCTAGTGCATTTGCGTCACCATTTTATTTGGCCAAAAGAAATTTAGAATATTCTTTTTTTCTATAAGACAAATTTTAGTTTTTTTTTTTTTTCTTTTTCTCATGATGCAATGCAACACAGATGATATTTTGATTCCTTTTTCCTTTTGCAAAATAAAACATATATACATAATACATAGAACAGTACCCCACAGCTAAGGTACTGTCGGGGTGCCCTTATTAAAAAATGTTTAAAAGAAATTATCAGAGTATATATATTCTTACTCCATCTGTTCCAGAAAAAGAAAATTCCTATTTATTGTATAAAAATAATTTAATTGCTGAATTGTTATTTTGGGACATGGGAAGGAATGAAACATATATATGTATATATAGCTATAATTTCTTGAAAATTCTGATAAGGGAATTTTCATCAAATGGACCAAAAGAAAAGGGATCATTTTTGCTTGGATAATCAAATAGGATGAGTATAGTTTCTGATTGTAGGCTTTCCAACTCACACACATAATTTTTTTTCTCGTTGGATGCTCTGTTTGTTGCATCAAAAGAAGCTGAAAAAAATAAAAAGAGGGGGCCTTGAGGGAGCGTGTTTTGCAGTTTTTGTTCTTTATTGCGCGCTTTGTGATAGTGCTTAATTGGACCTCCATTTTCATGTGTGGAGACAAAAGAGTCATCCATCTAATGATCTAAATCAACTTATATATATGTATTCGATCGCCTTCAATTCAATTGTATATCTTTTATTTTATCCTCTCTAAATTATTTTGTGTCATAATCAGAAAAGGAAACCTCCCCATATGCATGTACCTTTAATTGATATTTCATCGTTATTTGAATTCATTGTCCTCATAATTCTAGATTCGAGTTGAATATGTTTTTTTAACAGAAAAAGAAGATAAAATTCTCTAAATAAATATTTTGATCATTAATACACCAATACTACTATAGGATACAGAAAACACGATTATTATTAAACAATTCTATATCTTTAGACTCTGAACTAAGTGTTTGTTGTTGTGTATATGATGTGCCTTTATTATTGGCAAAAGTTAGGCAGATGCTTGATTGATGTTTATATATTGTTCATTTGGGGCATATGGGGCTAAATATTAATATGAAGATTGATAATGATTGGAAAATTCCAACCTAAAATGGTGGAAAAAGAAGACTTTACACAAAGTTATGTCACATTTTAATTTTACTGGTAAACACGAAAGGCTAGTATTGGATGAATAAGTTGGACTAATTTGAGCTAAGCCGAAAGTTAACCATGACAAAATGCCTTTGAGTAATGGACCATTTTTTCTATATTGGCCAGTCAGATGAAAAGATACATCCAGTGTGGCTGAGAATGAAATGGTTTGAAACTTGAAAATCATCACTTTTTCCCTGAATTTTTTTTCTTTTTCTTTATGGAGATGAAATTGCAATTTGGAAGTGTATTAATCCATTTTGGACTTCGATAGAATAATCTTCATGTATCTAATACTCTCTCCTGTCCTTATTATATATAAGACATTTTATTTGTCTTAAGTTTCATTTACTATATTTTTGTAATTGAGAAAAAATCTTTAAAATATTTTTTAATAATTAGCCGAAAATAATGAATGTCAAAATGTAATTTTAAGATTTTATTTTAATCGAAAAAATAACATTAAGTGAAATTTAAGAAAAATCAAAATATCTTATAATAAGGATCAAAAGAAGTATATATTATTTCCACTTCATCAATCCTATTTTAAATGATCTAGTTGACATTTAATTTTATTTCAACAAAATAAACTAACAAGTAACGCATGCCAACGGACAAGTAGTACGAAGAATGATATAAAACTGGCAAGTAGTACATTCCAACTTTCTTCCTACCTTTGCGATTTATACATGAAAATGCAAGCCATTAACTCCTTCTGTTACCTTTCTGCTTGCGCATGCAGCAATCATGATTTTGTGTGCGTCTAATTAACCTAGATTAAGTTCATACGCAGTCATCGATCGAAGTGTGATTATATGTACAAAGGGAAGATGGCTGAAAGGGCTCTATAAAGAAGTCCATTAATTTAGTGCAAGCCACATCAAATCCCATCATAAAGCAAACCCTAAAAGGAAGAGGATGCATTACATGAATTGTTGAATAAATTCATAGTCTACTGGATGATACCGGAGTAACACATTCTCGTAATGTAATACTACTTCCGTGAAAAAAAATAGTCTATATTGAGTTTTTGAATTTGTACTAAAAACAGTGCAAAACTCAAGACTCAATATGGACTATTTTTTTAGAACGGAAGGAATAATTGCCAATCGGTATTATTTGATTTTCAAACCCCTTTTCTGAAAAAATTAAAAAAAGAAAAGAAAAGAAAAGATTTTACTGATACTAGTCATGCAAGGAAGTGATAAAGCAAGTCATTCTTTTAATCGATAAGGTGGAGAAGAGGCGACATTGTTTTCAATTTAGATCACTTTGATTAAAACTTGATGTCTGGCAAAGACTAAAACCTCATTCAAAACGTGATTTTATTGCTTACCATCTTCCACGTACATACACTCAAGCAAGCAAACTAATTTAAGAGAAAAAAAGAGAAACTCATCACAAAAAGCTAATGCATCTAAATAGTGGAATCTGGACTACAAAAATAACTCAACCTTTTCACATTACTTTAGCAGTAATTTATCCAAAGAACATAATCATTTTCTTGGATTTCCTTTGAAGATGTAAAAACCCTTTGAGACAGATTCACTGAAGATTTAGGAAACGTGTACTTTTGAGCGTACTTTAACTCTATTATATTAAACAGAGTTTAGATAAAAACAACATGAGATAAAAGAATAAAAAATAAATAAATCATGGACCAATTATCAACTCTCTTAACAAACCTCCTCCACCACCTTCAATAATCCACAATGGCAATAGAATACATACAAATAGAAATAGTAGTATGCACAGGTGGCATCACCATGTCGCATTTGGTCTAAAAGCAGCCCATTTTGGAGGGATATAAAAAAGATGATGTCTTTTGGATTAAGCTAACAAAGTTTGATTTCAATTTGTTAAGTATATTCTTACTAGAACGCCTTTAAGATAGATTATGTTATGTACTTTTGATATTAGAATCTTGTCTTTTTCACTAAATACAACGTTACGCTGGAAATGTGGGCATTGGGTTGTTACATTGACTGTCTAGCTACAGTTAAATGAAATTGGAAAATGGGGGAATCTATTTTGATTGTTAAATTATATTCGTATAGTGGAAATGTAGGGAAAAGGGGATGAATGATCACTTAATTAATTACGGTTACATTTTCTAAAATATTTAATTCTAGTTCATATTTCCTAAGCTTCGATTAAACTCCTTATGTCCCAAAATAATGATTTCTTTGTGTACATAATAATTAAAATAATTAATTATTTTACTTAATTATTTTTGAATGATCACTTAATTATTTTTACGTCCCAAAAATAATTAAAAAAAATAAGACAAATTTTTTTGAATAGGATAGAATGGTGTAATTGTATGCCACAACAGAAAAAAAAAAATGATGCAACCACAAAACTTTGATATTGATCCTTTTTTATCAAGATGCAAACTTATTTCTTTTCAGCTACTACATCAGCCCAATCACATCTTAATAAAATGGACTAGGCCCAGAAAAATACTATCAGGCTTACTGGGCTCTCAGCAGAAACCCAGTAAAAACGAAATCAAAGGTCTCCTTCCCGGGAAATTAACCCCGAATCCAGCACCACCACTTTAATCAATGTCTCCAACCACCGTCATTCTGCCCCAAACTGCCACTCCGGCGCTCCTTCCCGCCAAAATCCCAGCCCGGAGTAACCTTAACCTACGCCATCTCCCCACTAACCTACGCACTTTTCCATCATTCTTATCCGTCAAACCCATCTCAGCAAAGCCTTGTCCGAGCTTCCTCAGAGCAAACCCACCTCAGAATTACATTTATCCTGACCCAAACCCGGAGTTTGCCGCTGCTGTAAAATCCCTCTTTTGTGCTCAATGATTAATTAAATTTTCCCCGAAACGAAAAAATGGTCCTAACTGCTGCATTTTGTTCTGTGTTAACTGTAGGAGACGAGGAAGTTTAAAGAGGAGCTAACCAAGACGCTGTCCAGGGAAAAAGAGACTTTTGGTGATGAGCTTAATGCCGTTGTGAACGTTTGTACCGAGGTAAACACATCGTTTCTTTGAAGTTGGTGTTCATAATTTCATCAATCTGGGGTGAATTTGGTTGCTGATGATTATTGTTTGATGTTAAAGTGATTGGGAATTATAGGGACACAACTCAAAAAGATAAGACATCAGATATTATTAATTGGGGAATAAAGCCATAAACTTGGTATGCGTGAAAAATATGGCCATGAATGCACCTCCTCTATAGATTGGGCTGACCCAAAAAGATTGCCAAATCTTTTATTGTATGGACCATATGATTCAGAATTTTGTATGTTCATTTCAACATGAATTCCATACTTTTACTGTATTGTGATCTTACAAGGCGATGGATTAAGTTATGGTCATTCATCAGTACGCTTGATCAGTTTATGATAGGGAAATTTTGTCCATATGATAATGTTATTGTCATTCTGTCACTATTAGTGTCAATGAGTATGGAAAAGTTCAAAATGACATTATTTTGAAATTGAGTTTGGTGGGACATGTTTTCAATCCATCTTCGTTAACGTGTTTTAGATTATTTGTGCGAACAAGAATTCATCTGTTTATGGAATAATCTAACCGTCCTTCAAACTTGGGAGATTGAGGACAGCTTGTTAGGACCTCATGCTTGTGCACGAATTCAGTGAGTTTTCATTCACTGTTTAGATCTTAAAGTTTTCATCACTTATATTTTGTCTTAACCTATAATATTCTAGTTGTCTTGAGGTAAAAAGGATTAAAGATTGATTTTTCCAGTCTTTGACTGTTCTAATACGGATTTACCCTGACAAAAGATGTTTATACTGCAAACAGTTCATAATTGGAAGCTGATTTGGCTCCATAAATTGATAACACGAAGAAGAACCAATAGCTCTATAAACTGAGGGCTAATCACATGTTCTTGTGTGCCTGAGGGCAAGAACTCATGTCATGTGCAAGCTCTTCTTTCATCCATTGGTTTTACATTTTCAACAAAAATAGGTGAGCCTTAGACTTCCTCCATGTAAAATCTGGGCTTTCTTTGTTCCTGTGATAAGAGTGAATTTCTTCATTTCTCAGTCTTGTTCTGATGTTGCCTTGGGATCATGCTGAGGGCTGGGCCCATTTATACAGGAAGCTTGCAAGTTGTGTAATAGGAACACTTTTCACATAGCCAAGCAATTCACTACTTAAATAAAGCTCAAAGTTCATTGACATAGAGACAAATGGGGAATCTAGAAAGCAGTAATCCTAGATTCGATTTCCCCAAATTCTATCTTGGAAGATAATATTGAATGATTGCATGGGAAGGAAAGGAAATGGCTGTTTTTTGTTTCATCCGTCTCGTAGTCACCTTGTTTGATCATGTTTGTCTTCTTATCCTTTCTGCTCTGGTGTATTGGATGCTGCTGCTTGTCTTCATCTTGAATGAACTATCTTTGAAGAATATTCAACATGACTTAGGAATCTAAAAACACAAAAAAAGAACAAGGAAATCCATCTTATAACTCAAAATTAGACTACGACTATTAGTTTATTAGGGTTGACAGGAGGAAAGTCCAAATATAAGATAGCAAAAAAAAACTTTGTCTGTGCACAAACTGCCATTTGGAGCTATTTAACAGAGAGCAATCTTGGTTAGTGAAATAAATGCTATCAGATTAGTCGTCATACTCCTGAATCCCGCTATAGTAAGTTGCTTGCAGAATTGTTATAATTTTTTTTTTTTTTTTTTTTTTTTTGGGTTTAAGACATTTCCATGAGACCTGGCTTATTTTGACTTGAACGTGGCTTGGAGATTGACTAATGTAAGAAATATCTGATCTTAAAAGTTAAAAATGTTTTTTTCTTACGTATGTAGCATCTGACATTTTGTACCTCACTGATAATTATCTAGGAATAAAGGTGGATGCTTTGATCTTAGATTCCTGAAAGAATTCAATTATTCGGGGTCAATTTTTGATACAACTTTGTTAAACTTGCTTCCCTTGTCACATCAAGATATTTAGTGAATTCTTGCACAAGGAGTATGGAGGACCAGGGACATTATTGGTGGAGCCTTTCACTGATATGATGGTTGCACTCAAGGAGAGGAAACTCCCCGGAGCACCTTTAGCTGCAAGATCATCTCTCTTATGGGCTCAAAATTATGTTGATCAGGATTGGGAAAGTTGGAACTCCACACCAGAAAAATAATGGTGTATTTTGGTATTATTTTCCCTTAAAAAAAGTAACCAAAAAAGCCGTACCCAAAGGATGAGGTGGAAGCAATTTGCAGCTTCATTATGAACCCTTTTTCCTGGTCATCATACAGTGTGTCAGCTCTCATCTTGTTTTCCTATCTGCTATACAACAATAGATAACATTTCCGAAGATCATTTGTGGACTTAATCTGTGGTTACAAATTCTGAAGCCCACTTATGTACTGATAGTTGATCATCGTCAACAGCCTTCAGCTTGCAGCCTCAGAAATGCTATGCAAACTCGGCCGCCATGATTTTGATCTGCCTATGTTATTTGGCCCTGACCGCTGCTGGCAATGTCTTTCCCTCCTCGTCGACTGAAATCATCAATTAGCAGACAAAGATCAGCACTTGAAAAGAGCTGTAACTTTTAGTTCCTGATGTACATGATCAGTTTTTGAGGACAGCCAACTCAAACTTGAAAGTTAATATTTTCAGAACCATGAAAACTGTGTAGTCAATTTGGTGTCTACTATCCTCTTTACGTTTTCATGCATTCTCGCATGCAGATTAAAGAGAGAAAAAGAGAGAGAGAGACAGAAAGGCAGAATTAAGGAGTGAATAAGTTTACCTGACAGTTGTTGTCCAGTTCAGACTTCCCTGGTTCTGCCCCACCACTTGAACCTTGCTTTTCTGGCAGCTGTGATTCCAATTTGTCAATGGCTGGTTGGTGGTTCTTCATTTTTGCATACTTCTTTGCTTTCAAGACCTTCATAACCTCTGCATCATATGATGACCAAAAAGGAATAGAGTTATTAGTCTAAAAGAGTTAACTGATCATAATTCTGAAACTGTGCACCTAACTAATACTTGAAAAACCTTATGATCCAGAACTAAGAAAGTTGAATTACAAGTGGAACAAAAATAACAAAATTTGCTCCCAGTTAAAATCTCTCTGTCCTTGAAATCCAAGTAAGTTCAGAGGAGAAGAAGAAGGATACCTTGAGTGGTGACAAGCCGATAAGCTCTGCCAAGAACTAGAGTTTCACTAGGCCTTAAAAGCTTAACCCGAGTGAACCTTATGGTTCTATCATCTGAATTCCGGTCGCCGTCACCGCCACCGCCACCTCCGCCACTCCCAGCTTGACCAGGAGGAGCCATAGGAAGTGGAATTATGAGAGAAACATAATGACCCGGATTCATCTTCATGACTTCACTGGCAGTAACAGGCCAATACAACCTATCTATCTTCCCACTTGGATGTTGTATCACAAGTGCAGCAGCATCTACAGCTTGACAGTTCCCCATCCTAAATCACTCTATGTATGTATTTCTATACAATTTTCCACAACCCTTTTATCTGAAATCTAATACTACTATATCCAGATGATGAAGAAGGACATGAAATGAAAACCAAGAACTGGAGATAAGAATGAGGGGAGATGATGGAAAGGAAAAACCAAGTAGGGAAAAAGAAAAACTAGTCTTATTCAGAGGAGAAGAACAAAAAAACAGGACCAGAGAGCCCAACCCCTTCTCCTCCTCTCTATGCTATTACTATCATCATAATAATAATGGTGGTGAAGGGACAATTGGTAAAAATATATATGTTTATATGAATGTTAGAGTAAAATAGGTGTCTCTCTCAAACAAATGCCGTCCCTTCTTCCATCCCTCTGCCAACTATACTAATTTATTCATTCATATATAGGTGGTTACTCTAGAGTCAAGTCTGCGTTTTATAATATTCTTCTTCTTTGATGTTACTACAATATAGAGAAGTTCCCTCATTTTATATACTACTACTATCTCGTATCGCGTTTTCTTTATTCCTTTTTTTCTTGATAGTGCTTAATATTTAGCTTTATTTTGATTTGTCCAAATACGTAAAGTGACTTATCTGTGATCTCAACATACCACAATCTCAATAGTTAGAAATTCTGATGTTCTAAGTTTTATTCAAGAAGTAGAGAGAAATTATATTAAGTATTTTCAAAAAAAAAAAAAAATCAAAATCAACTCAAAGCGTATTCAAATAAATAGAATTAAGAAAAAAAAATTATCTACGTTCAAATAAATTTTTCTTAAAAAAAAAAAAAGAGTCAAAATTGATAGATTATTGTTAGTTTTTATTGAATTTCCCCGCAAAAAAATGATATCGCAGTTCGCAAATGTACACTAATTTGCATCCTTTGATTAAAGAAGGAGGCTGGTTTGCTAAGGAAATTCAAAGTTTCATTGGTATTTCTAAATAAAAATTCTAATAATAATAGTGGTAGTTACGAGAATGTGATAATTAACGTTAAAAATAGTTAATTAAGTTTACTATTTTTTTCTTTATTTGCTGCAATGTATGGAAAAGAAAAGAAATAGTAATAGGCCGGCCCGGCAACGTTCCCTCATATGCTGCTGAGGTTGCCACGTGGGTCGACGTCAACGGTTACGATCTTGGACGGGTACGCTCGGCGGTGTCGACGGAGTCAAGCTTTGGATTTATTGTTAGAAAGTGACATTATTAATTCTTCCTTGCTATTAGTATTTTTTTTGCGGAAAATAATTTCTGCCAAAGTGTCATAAGTTATCAACATCATAAGTCAATGGCCTCCAATTAAATCACAATACAACGTCTCATATTATTATTAAAAAAAAATGTACAAGAAAATTATAGAGCGTCATCCAAACCAAATCATGGCGTGCTTATGAGATTCCATTGTCATAGCATTTTATCATATCATTATTCGTTCAAAACACAATTATCTTCAGCCCTCCAACATGATTTTTATTTTAGGATGGAATGATAATATTTTTTTTAAAAAAAAAAACAAAGTAACTTACATAGCTTCACTGAATATTGATTTGAGTATGATATATGCATGTCTATTTAGAATTATATTATGGTTCTTAGAAAAAAAAAAGAAAAAAGAAAAAAAGAAGAAGAAGAAAGGGAATAACTAAAAATAATGGTGTAGATAATTGTTTGGCCGAAGCAAACAAGAAACCCTAAAATGTCTTTAAAATCAATAAAAACAAAATGCAGTATGAGGACAGATTGTTTGGCCGTGTGAAAGTTGTTGTCCAGTATACCTTGTAATTTTTTGATTTGTTTCTTGCTTTTCTTAAGCAGCTATGACATCATGAAATTATTTTGCAGGAATTTCTTTTGATTTTGATTTTTTTTTTTTTTTTAGTTAAAAGTTATTGTCGATTCTACATCCGGCTGCTCCAGAGATTACAATTCAGAAGAATTTATTCAAAGCTTTGGACATATATACTCTTGGTGACTTTGGGGATTAATCATACTGTGTTAAATCAAATCACATTTTCATTTGCACTAATTTGTTCGGAGGAAAAGTTTCAAAGGGAACTGCCTCTTCATTTTTTTTATTTTTTTTTATTTTTCTACATAAAAGATAGGCCAAAATCTAAAGGCCAGATGTTTCAAAGATAAATTACAACCTATAACATAATGACATAACCAGTAACCACACCCCAATGGAAAAGAGGTTCACCAATACTTCTGCTAAAGCCTTTGTTGAAGTGGCTTTGCTTAATTAATCATGAAATCCGCTGCAAAGTTTATTTCAATTCAACTTTCTAAATGGCTAATTTGATCTTCATTTGCAGGCGTACACAACCAGCTTGATTCCTTCCATGACAAGTGCAAACAAATACGACTCTTAGAAGAAAGAAAAAGAAAAAGAATTTAAAGTCACCACGGCACAATATTAATTACTATTTGGGCAATAAATTAACATGTTGACATTTCTCAGTTGATAATGTCTTCACATTTGACACTTGATCTTTTATGTTGAGAGCGTCACGGCTCAGACAAATGCAATAGTACAATTTTTTTTTTATCCATAAAGATATACAACAGTTAACAATATTTTAACATTAATAATTTCTACATAATTTATGCAGATTTCAGGGGATGTGACTCTGTCTATAGGTATATACGAAGTTGCACAAATAAAATCAAAAGATTTGATGTCGACGTATATCCGCTCAAAAAAAAGAAAAAATCCACATTGAGTTTTTAAATTTATATTAAAAACAACATAAATCTGAAACCTTAAAAGTGAATTATTTTTTTGGATAAAAAAAAAATTGAACTAGATATATGACTCGCTATTTTTTCTTTCTAATTCTTAAATCATTATTTTTCGGGGGCTTGTTCTTGCTAAGCTCTAGCTAGGCAATTAGCTGAAAATGATATTGAGCGCCTCCGCTTTATGAAGCAAAAAAAAACAAAAAAAAAAATAAAAAATCATTGAAGACTTTGTTTAAAGTTTAAACCAATGGTGCTGAGTTTGTTGATCAAAGGTAAAAGAGAATATATGATAGTAGCTATAGCTGCAATTTTAGGTTCTTTTTAAACCAAAGCATGCATCACTTTACACAAGGAAAAGGTAAAGTTGAGCAATGAGTTTCGTTGAGATAAACGTCCCAAAAGATTATTACTTGCATAATCCATATTCTCTACCGAAATTACTTGGAAAATGGCCTCAGTATGACCAATTTAAAGAGGCATATAAACGTGTCAATTAACTCAATATATTCACCTTTGGTAAGATTCGATTAATTTGTGCCTCATTTATATCATCGATCAAAGCCCTTAAATCTATGCTAAAAGATTCGAAATTCTTCTCAACGTGATTATTAAACCATTAAAAGAAGAAGAAATTTAACTTGATCGTACGTGTGAAAAAATCAACTCTATAGTCTATAGCGGCGGCCAAAGGCAGCTTCATTAATTAATTAGTTTGTTCAGGCAAATTAACGTTTTAGGTTTGATTTTCAAAGGTTAAATAAAATTGAAAAGAATCCTTTCATTAACTGATCTATTCGATTGGCATCTAATTAAGGAGAATATATATATATATATATATATATATATATATCATCTCGATCGAATTTTTGGGAAACGTCCCAGAAACTTGAATCCACACACTTTTTTCTCCTTTTGTAAAAAAATGAAGTCGGATCACGGAACTATTCTTCCTGTAAGCTCGACCAACACTAATTTTATACTAATATCGATTTTGATCCACTGGAGTTTTTGAGAATTGTTTACGGGTCTGTTACAAAAGAAAATTATTACTTTAATTTCGAAACGTAAAATGCAAGGCACACACGTCTACCTATGCGGTTGCCCTTTGTTTTTTTTTTTTTTTCTTTTTTCTATATTTACAGGGTCTCTACCGTCATTGATAACAGTGACTAATATCTCTCTCGTTGAATTATAAGCACTTTAATGAGCTCTTTGCTTTGAATGATAGGTTAATGAGATCCACATAATAAGGTGGAGACAGTGATGCATTTTCAATGATTTTCTGTAACATCGATCGATCGCTACACATGAATGAATGTCAACACATAAATCGTCATGAAAATCAATATACTGCATCAATATTACTGGCTAAAAATTGTACATTAGACCGACCTAACTAGTATACGTATAAAGTGACGAGTACTATTACCTCCGTCCCAAAAGAATTCACATTAAATTTTCAAATTTATACTAAAATTAGTACAAAACTTAAAATTCAATGTGGACTATTTTTATGAAATATAGAGAGTGCTTTGATTGTGAAGCTTTAACCTACTAGCGCGAATGTTCGAGGAGAAATGAGATTCATAGATCTCTACAATGCACCTCTACTTTGCATATTTACTTTGTTGGTATATATTCATCGATTTGAATTTTGAAAAATGTAATCATCATTATCACATTAATTAACAACTAATGAGCGAATGCCATTTGACCAGAGATGTAAAGTAAAGCTTTAATAGTAAAGATGTGCATCATCCTTTATGCTTGATTTATAGTATAACAAATACCAAGAAGTTCATAAGTTGGTTGTTGGATAAAGTCTCGTTTTCAATTGATAACCAACCAAAATTGACAAAGAAGGAAATGGACGGAATGTTAATTTGTTTAAGATTAAGGGGAAAGAAATGAAATATAGAAGGCAATTAAGTTTTTTTTTTATTTTTTATTTTCTTTTGTTTTTTTTGGTACAAGCAAGTTAGGAAAATTCAGCAAGCTAGCTAGCTGGGGGATTTTAGGCAATAAGAAAAGGAATCCGCTATATTTAAGATGGTTGACCAATGTAGTAGATCTGTGATTAGTAGTAGTGTTATATTGTTGAAAAGATAGCAAACAAAATCTCCAAATATCAAGTTTTGAAGATCTTCTTCTCTGTTGTACAAGTACTCCAACAGTAAGAAAAATAAAAAATAAAAAAGACCGACCAAGATGTGTAAAAACATCTGCGTTTTAATGCCTTGATTGAGTAAGCCATGTGAGATGTTGGGAATCTCTTGAGCTAAAACTATTAAATGAAGGGAATGGACTCTATTTCCTCTTGTTCAAACAAGACGGATGTGGGGGACTACAAACCCAACGACCTTCTTTTCTTCCCCTTCCCCTTCCATTTAATTAATTAATTAGTTAATTTATGGTGTTTATAGTATTGTTTAGCTTCTTATGGCCAAATACCCCGGCGAGTATAAAGGGTGCATATATATATTTGGTAATCCCCATGGCCATGTGGGATCGGCTCTCATAAATCATCTCCAATCACTTAAACCAAAGATTATTACTAGTTTCTTCACATTTGAATATGTACAGCGATATAGATATGATAGATTATGGCACATTCTGCATAATGGAGGAGTCATTAATGTTATCCGCTATAATGGGAACACCCAAATCCTATATTTATGATTGTCCTAAACTATTACACGGGGTAAATAGTTTTGTATAAATTGTTACCATGGTGTGATTTCCAAGAGCAAATGAATCACTATTTTATACTAGTATGAATTAATCCAAGAAAGAAGTAACTTGTTGCATTATCTGCTCAAATTTGAATTAATTAAAATAATGATTTCGGACACTAGATGCGTAATATATTAAAAAAAAAAATTCTTGCACTTGGTCATGTCATATATATCTTGCAAACCACAACGAAAACTAACCAAAACTTAATATGGTTGAGAGACTTCATACAATTCAAACAATTTTGATTAGAAAAAAATGTAGTTAGATTACATACTAAAATTTGGGGGGCACAACATCTTTTGGTCATTTGTGTCTGTATATTAGGGGGTTACTTTGAAAGTCTGAATGAGATGAAGTTTTGTGGGGGCAATTTGGTTAAGTGGGACTAGGGAAGGATACAGATATACTACATGATTTCAAAGTTGCTTTTCAACACATTCTTCCCCCAATTAATACAAATACAAACTTCGAATGATTTGATTATTACTTAAATTTAAGAGGACACCCTAACTTAGCTACTTGCCTAGATTTTAAAAGGAGGGAAAATAAAAAAAAGAAAAAGATTAGTATATGTAACCTTGTCTGTTGGATAGCAATGACAATGAAATTAAAAAGGGCAAAAAAACAAGAAACGTTAGATATGAAAATTACCTTTTCTTCTGGCAATATGTAAAATAAATGTACACTACTTAATTAACAAACACCGCAGGAAACCACAAAGCATGTTTTGAAATGGTAGTGTCGGAGTCCTAATATGGACATAGATCAGAGTCTATTTCCTCAGCGTCCTGTAGCTAAATCCAACTACACCGAAGCAATGCGGAAACTGCAACTTGGTTTCTTTGTTCTTCAGAGCCTAATTGAATTTCAACTAGTCAAATCTTAAAGTAGTTAGATCACGGTTGACTTAAATATGTTTATCTCGTACAGAGATGCCCAAAATCTAAATTAATTACTCATTAATTTCCAAGTTACGGTATGGTATAACAACAATATATACACCACAGAACCCACAAGGTTCTACCTCAAACCATATATACACTATATACACAAAACACGATACATAATATGTGTTACGATGCGATAACTATGACATTCAATAACTAGATGCCATTCTTAATTGATGTTTGGTCTCTCTCTTCGAGCCTTTGATCTCTTTCTCAACCATAAACTCACTCACACACAATGGACCTTTGGTTGTGCTAATGATGTTGGTTTCAAGCTTAAAATTGCACAGTATGATGATAAAATATGTTATTGCCAATTAAAGACATGAACTTTTTTTTTTAATATATTGCATAAATCTTTGATAATCATGATGATGGGAATGATTTAAGTCAAAGGTAATATGCGGTGGTCGCATTGGCGTGGCAATAATTAGCTCTACTACTTAGGATATGGGAGTAGTGTGTTAATCTCATTAGAGACCCATTAATTTCACTTGTGATCATCATTACCCAACTACTAGTGGTGATTAATCGCACACTGAAAGATCTGTCTTCTGCACAAAATCATTATCCAAATCATCTTTTCCATTATTAAAATCAAGCAAGCGCAGCTCTACAACGTTAAAAGTAGTAAACAATAACTTTTCCGACGCAATATAGAATTGAGTTTTCTTTACGTCCAATATATAGTAGTACTAGCTAACTAATCTTTCACAAAAAGAAGAAAAAAGAAGAAGAAAGAAGCTTTCTTTCTTCCCAGAAAAAGGGATCGATCGCACGCAACATTCTTCTATATATATTTATATATGTTGATGATTACATAAATAGTACAGTATATAGTGATTATTGTACCTAGTTAAGATTAATTCTTGAAACTAGATATACATATAACCGGCCTGAAGCTAGAATTATGCCGGTCACTTTGACCTAGAATCATGTACTACTAGTCAACTATATTGACGATTAGCTCGAGAAAGAACTCTATACTTCATCATTAATTCATACCTATCATCATCCCATGTAATTATCCACCATCACCTTTATTTTTGTTTTCTATTATTATAACTAATTTTTAATAAGGGAGGAGAGGAAACTAATTCTGCTTTTTTTTTTTGGGTACAATGTAAGATTCGAACCCTAAAAATTAAGTTATACCAATGTTTGGAGCCATTCAGATGTACGAGATAAGACTTGTTCATATGGGCCATTTGTATAGTTTAAAACCGTAATTGTGGGTTTATGGAACCATAGGTATGTGTTTGCTCCTCCATTTGGACTTGAAATCATTCATTATATATTTTATAAGTTATACCAAGGTTTGGAGCCATTCCATGTAGGTTTACGGAGCCATAGGCATGTATTTGTTCAGTCCATTTGGGCTTGAAATCATTTAGTATATATCTTATAATTTATATCAAGGTTTGGAGTTATTCCAATGTACGAGATGTGACTTGTCCATATGGGCCATTAGTATAGCTTGAAACCATACACATGGGTTTACGGAGCCATAGGCATATGTTAGTTCACTCCATTTTGACTTGGTGTCATTCATTATATATCTTATAAGTTATATCAATGTTTGGAATCATTCCGATGTACGAGATGAGACTTGTGCATATGGGTATTAAGATAGCTTGAAACCGTAAATGAGGGTTTACAGAGCTATATGTATGTGTAAGTTCACTCCATTTTCCTTCGTGATTTCCACAATAAATGAATATATATATTATATGGAAAAAATAGCCATGTATCTGTTCAATTATTCACTTTAATTTTGCAAAATTACCCCACAACAAAAGTACTTTAATGTACCATTGAAGAACAAGAAATTAATTAAACGAAACAAGAGAAGAGAAATGCATGGACAGCTAAATATGTTTCACTTTGAACGCATTGAAGTGACTAGGATGGAGGACAACCTTACCTCAGCGTTCATGCGCAAAACCAAGTTGTCCACTAAAAGAAGGCCATAAAAGAAGAATTGAAATCACATTCTACCATTTTAGGAATGACATCGCCAATGGCAAACACTTTTTTTCTGTTTTCTTATCCTAGATTGAAAGAGAAAGGCAATAATATGATGCCCGTATTCGGATTTAAGGAGCCATTGTTTTACTAGTTCTTCCTACTTGTGTCTTTAACATATTGTGAAACACTTCAAAGACATCTATGATTTGTTGTTGTCTTTACATACATAGGTTTCGTGTATTCGATTCAAAACATGATTTTAACTCATTCAAGATATTTTTGACGATTTGTTTATAAATCACGTTGTCATACACAAATGTTTGTAACGATATTCTTAAATAATGTCTTAAAGTATTTTTTTTTTTTTGAATACGTATGTGATCCAACCAAAACAAAACACAACAACCTAATTGGCGACTCAGAACATAACGCACTAAAAACATTGATATCGAATCATGCACATCTTTTACCTGTTCAAGAGTCAAATGTTGTCTAGGGAACAAATTACAAAAAGGAAAAAGGGAGGGAGAAATTAATGCATGAATGATGAAAGAAAGTTAAGCACTACTTTTGGTTTTCAGTGATCGTGATAGCTCTCGTGTGCATGGAAATTTAACGTACGTACGTGGGTGGTAGTAAACAGTCAAATGTAAGATTAAAAACTCAGAACTTGTAATATGTCTTGTCAAATATTTCGATGATTGAACAGCATGCATTATCGGCATCCTCCTCTCCGAGGGACATGTTTTCTGAACTGAATGAATCAGAGATTGACATATCATAACTAAAGGGGTCGTTTTGTAGCCCATTTGGATGAGAAATGATATCACATCAATTACTTCAGCGATGCCTTTTTTAATCATATTTGAAGACATTGATAAACAGTAATTGTAATTATGCTTCATAATGGAGATAATTATTGTGGGAATTTCGGGAAAACTTGTACATTCTTGAACCAGCATTTAGTTCATATGTCATGCCGCTTTCAAGCTCAAGCATTTGGTTATTGTGTTCTGCAATTGCCTATACATGTAACATATCTCGATGTGAAGTATTGATATTCATATAGGTACACACACACCAAAAAAAAAAAAGAAAAAATAAAAATAAAAGACAGTTTCTTGTTGAATAAAAACTCTTGTGTAAAGCTTGTATGCGCATTGCATCATAATATGTTCAAATTAAATTATCCAAGCACAAATGTAATGACTTACAATTTAAGGCCTAAAATGTGAATGTGTTTTTAACTTTTTGGAATAAATAAACCATTATACTGCGATCTAATCTTCCAATTGTTGTGGGAACACAGTGGACAAAGACAGAATTTTTCACCTCCTCACCACCCAGCCCAACTGATCTGATTTGTCAAATTAGAAAAAAAAAATACACTATTTGATGTGGGCTACTGGATTATCTTCCTTATGGACTATCTGACTGGGCTAGCTAGAGAGTTGAGATAGAAATTTACCAGCTGGATGACAGTCCCCTTGGAAGTGCGAACCAAACAAAGCCCATATCAAAATGCTATGCTGTGATAATAATAAGCTTACGGAAAGAAAACCTTCTAAAGTGTGTAATTTTCAGCAATGTGTACAGTTCAGCTCCCAGAATGTGGTGGTAATTGCCTTACAAAAAAAGTAACAACATCAGTGGTCACTGGTCATTACTTCCACAGAAAAAACTAAGGCAAAAAGCCACTTTGCTAGAATAAATACTATACTTCTCTATATCTATTAAAGGTCTCTCCTTTGATCGGTTAAAATGCAACAGCAAAAATCTCAGAATTGAGTCGGATAAGATGATGGAGTCTGCTGTTCTTCTGTTTTGATGCTTTATCTAACTTTAAGTTAAACTGATGGGAAGAACTTGTTGAGGTTCATAGGCAAGGAGTAGAACTCTTCACTTCTGGTGTCGGTTTTGAAGGATTTGAACTTTTCCCACCACGGCATTCCCCTATCCTTGTTGGTTGCACTGTCTTTCTTATGTAAAGTGTTGTCCAGGATGATAGCCAATAGCCCCGCGACAAATGCCTCAGATGAGAAAGGGACATTGATCATGTCATTGAACTGCCCACATATGCAAATGTCATCAGTTTCTTGTCCTAGTTATAGCTACAAATATTTATCACTTTCTATAGCATTTTTATGTGACATTCATCCATTTGGTTAGATCGCGGAATATCGCATCCTTACCCATTTCCCACGGCTATGAACTGGACCGACACCATTGACAGCAGTGTACTCATTGAAGTATTGTGGTATAGACAAGCCCATGAAGATAGAGAATCCCAATATGAATTTTGTTTTAAAGATGTTCAAATTGCAGAATTGGAGAAATCCGAGTCCTGCTGAACCTGTCATTCATGCATTGATACATTAAAAAGGATGAGAATGAGCATACGATTAGCGAAATAGGGATTTCTACAGACGAAACTGATTGAAGTGGTGAGCGTGAAACATACCAACATAGGCAAAGAAGAGACAATAAAATGCTGCGAATATTGGTGCTGGAATTGAAGCAAACAGAGCTCCAAATTTTCCTGATTAAATGACAGATGCAAAATGTAAGAACTGCTCAATCCTATTGAAGATTTCAATGTAGAGCACTCATTATGATTTAGTGTCAAGCTCACCTAATATGGAAAAGAATATCATGAAACCAGCAGATATTTGCACCACCCTGCGGCTTCCAACATGAGTCGATGCCAGCAGCCCAGCATTTTCCCTGTCACGGTAAATAAAGTTGATTATGAACTGATTAGTACATACATTTTGGTCCATGCAAATGAATGATAGCTTGATTAATTTGCTAAACATTAAGGTCTTACACAGAAACTGAGCATCCATTTCCTGTTCCGAAAATTCCAGCCAACAATATGCCAACACCCTTCAATGTTTTGGAAAAGGAAGAAAACACTAAATTAGACTCATTAGAAGAACAATGCAATGACAGTTTTCCCAGAAGGAATTCTGAGACATTAACTGGTGCTAGAAACAAGAGAAACTACCCAGTCCATACCTGCCAACCGACACCACGGCTTAGCACTGATGGAGGAACAGGAGTTGCACTGGCATACCTTGCCACAGCTATGAATGCACCAGTGGACTGTAAACATTTCAAATTCATTCTTAATCTCAATTTTTGGACAAAATTATGGCTCTCACTTTCAGTAACCTGAGAGAAGCAACTCAACAAAGATGACCATTCATGTGTATAAACAAATAAATCACAATTGAGGCAGACTCACCTCAACAAGAGCAACAAAGGAAGCAGCCATCATTGCAAATCCTTCTCCAGCATGGAACGTAGGAGCTCCCCATTGAAATGGATAAGGAACTCTAATCCTGGAATGAAATCAATAAAGCAGAAACACATCAGCCATCATTAATCTGAGTATACAAGGCTCACTCATGGAAAACATCATGGAGCTATGTTACAGAAGTTTTAACTCCTAGAATAAAGTAGGTTTCTTTCTTGCATGCAACTAATATTATCTTGCAGATGGCATCAACAACATTTGATTTCATAATAGATCATTGGAGCTTCAGCTCTAAAAATTCTCCTAAATTCATTATATGAACCAATGGGGTTTTAAGCTCACCAAGGAGCAGCACTGATGAGTCCAGCACGATCTGTCCTGCAGCTTAATTGAGTCTTCTCGGCAGCGTGCTTATAAGCTCCTCCAACAGTTAATAAATGAGCATAGATCCAAACAATAACCAGTGATAAGAGGACAGAAAACCGGTCAAAGATATTTTTCTTTCCTTTCATCAGGTTTGGGATATACTGCAAAGGAAATCAAATAATTAGATTAAGTTCTGGACTAGATTGAGGAATTTGCCAAAAAAAATGATGAATTTTGCAACAGTTCCTTTTAATGTTACTTTTACTTCACCTGTGAGAAGATAACCAGAATGATGAGCTGTGGTAGTCCAATTTCCACACATTTTGCGAGCTACAGAGTTACATGTAAAAATGTCAATGTTAAACATCCAACAAACTACACTATTGCTGACATTCTGTTTAAAGCTTGAATGCAGATCACTAACTGCTTACCAGAGGAAAACCAAATTCATACAGCCCAAATCCAGATAGAGCTACCAGAGGGATAACAGAAATTGGACTCAGGAACCTGACATTTCCAAAGCAAAATATGCACGGCATCATGAAGTGATTCCAAAATGAGGCACAAGGTTCTTTTCTGTCGTCTCACTAATTGAAAAGGAGAATAGTTACCTTGTCACAATTCGCCAAAGGCCACTAAATCCAATGATTATCTGAAGGGTTGATGCAACAATCATAGCACCCTGGATTCCTCGCATAATCCTCTCAAATCTCTGCATTATCAAATCAGGGAAGATTTGATCAAATGAACAATTTGTGGTCCAAATTGAAACTGTGAGGAATATTGTCACAAACCTCCACAGGATCTGCAATGTCACTGTATCTCGCTGCCAACACAACCGAAAGTGTGGTAGGCACAAATGTATAAGACCCTCCAACCACAGCAGGTAACCTCGTCCCAAACAATGTCTGAGTCAGTGTATTCAAACCAGCAACAAAGAGCATCGTCTGAATCACTTTTGCTTTCTCTTCCTATCCAAGGAAGTCGTTATTCCCAATTGTTAATCAGATGGAAAGAACACAACTAAAACTGAAACTTAAAAGAAACAGTGGGTGGTCAGAGAATTACATTTCTTCCTCCCATTTGAGGAACCAAAGCCGTAGGAATAAGGACAGTTGTGCCAAGCATCACAAGGTAGTGCTGAAACCCAAGAAGAATGGCCTCGGCTGCATTCAGAATATCATAATCAACGCCAGAAACTTATACATGAACAATGAATACACACATGAATGAATATCGGAAAGTTGAACATAAAATGGGAAGAAAATGGATGCTGTTTTTCTCCTGCGTAGACTACAACAGATATTTTCTGAACCATTTCTTCACAAAAATCAACCGATCATGCACATGCAAACCCAAAGATTACACCTTACGAGGACCAAAGAAAGGGGGAACTCACGCCAAGGTGGTGGGCTGGTGATGCAGTAAGAAACATTGGGGAGTTGATCTTTCACTGGATGTGATTGAAGCTCATCTTGTTTAGGAGCGGGAGCTGCTCCACCTCCTGCCATTTTTCTCTCTGTTTCTTCCGTAATTTTCTTCTGCGGCACTAAAACTCAGGGACTTGAATTCAGCACACAAATCTTTACAAAAGCAAATACTCCAGAGTTTCTCAGAAGGCCTCAACACATTACACAAGAACCCAGAAATTGTAATCCCCAGAAAACTACCCTGACCAGCTAATAGTCCACTGAAACGAGAAACCAGAGCAACGAAATTTAAGTCTAAAGTTTTAAAAAAAATAGGTTTTCCCTTTTGAACTATAGTTTAGTGGAACAGAGAAGAGTCATCAGCATGGCGGTGGCCTACAACATAAAAGGGCAAAATGCCTTAAACCCTCTAGCAGAAGAAACGTCCCCAAGAAACATTAGTCCCAGCAAAAAAGTCATAAAGCAATGTGAAGAAGGTTAAAACTTAACAGAGGGAATGGACAAAAAAGGGACTAAAATGAAAAGGGAAGAAATCCCAAAAGTAAGAGGCAAGCAAGTAGTTTCTGAGAATTTGTCATTTTGATTTCCATTTGGAGGGTTTTTTATTCGCATTTGCTGTCTCAGACTCTCAGGACCGAATGAACAAAAACAAAACAAATTCCTGTTTTCTTGTACAAGGAAAAGATAAAGTCAAAAAAGCATCCCGTTCCCAATCAACTTTTATGAATCCTCATTAATGCACTTCTCTATCTATTGCCAATGAAATGCAAATCCTTCCAACAACACAAGCAACACATGCCTGAAATTTTTACCAGATTTAGAGCAAAGAATAAGCATAGCTAAAAAAGCCAAAAAAGGACTATTGATAGCACCTACAGTATTAGGTTACAGCCAATAACTCTATACAGTCCATATATATCATTTCCTCTTTTCTTTGAAACCCTCTTCGTATTTTCGTATCAAATTCTGAAAAACAAAAAAAAAAAAAAAAAAAAAATTATGACAACCGTGTTCAGAGTTTCAAAGGTGTGATCATGTTTCATGAGTCCCTTTCTCCTGCAGGGCGCAGAGATGTCAATATTTGCGTACGACCAACCTGTCAACTTTTCTTTTTCTTTTTCTAAGCCTTTTTTTTTTGTTGTTGTATTACATGCCATTGCGTCATTTGTAAGATTCATTTTTGTATACACCATATGGAGCATTATCAAATTTTGGTTGATATTAGTAGCCACGAGTGCTACATCATATTTTAGGTGTAGCTAGAGAGATTGGGATTAGCTTATCGATGAAGAATATATGCTAATCATACAAATCAAGACAGAGAATATGGTTTTGAGTGATTTGAATCATTTGATTGAGCTATGAGTAGTAGGACTGAAGAAGAATTATGTACCTTTCTGCCCATTATGATTCACTTTGCAGACATTATTGATTATAATCTTGAAGACGATTGAGGCGATTTGATTGAGTTGGAGGAATGAAGAATTAGGTGCCATTCTCCGAAGTATGGTTCACTTTGCATGGCAGATATATTACATTACCCCAGCACCTTTGTTTGTTGCCTCAGAAAATAACTATACCATAATGTATCTATGTTATATAGAATATAGTTTTTGGATTGAGAAACTGTGCTAAATTTGCAAAACTAATACTAACACAAACTCGAATGTTGGAAGACAGAAGTAAACGGCAATCAATAAAATCGGAAGTTTATTGGGAAAAAAAAAAAGAAGAAAATTTCTCAAATGCCTAACTCTGTATCATGTTACAAATACTTGATAAAGTTTACTTTTCTTCCCTGGAGAAGTTTGATACCAACAGTAAAGAAACTGGATAGTCAAACCGCCACTCCAGCCCCAGCCGCTGTCCCATAAGCATCCACATGCAAGGCCACCAAGTTCCCCTCAAAGGACCATGAACTCCAGGCTCCAGCAACTATGTCACAAAGGTGTCACTGACCTGGATAGCGAGATTGCAATCTCTTCCTCTCAAACTCCAGCTATCAGTAACAACATTCGAGGTAACAAGGTGAGACACCTTAACATATTTCCCTATTCATACATTCAAAAAATTACGGGATATCAGTTACAGGAACTTACCACTTTTCGCACCCGGTCATTGGCAGCTGGGGTTCCTCCGATGACGGATTCAGGAAGATACGGACTAGTGACACGGACTTCATTCATCACAACTATTACAGTCTTATCCCAGCGCACCGGTAGCCTAATTTTTATTAACAATTGCATCATTAAACGTGACTCACAGATACAACTTATATTCTCTAGATAGGCATACTAAAGAGGGCACAGAAAGTACAAATGACGAACTGCCACAGTTGAAATAACCTGGACAGAAATCTTATCACATTGATTCCAAAGAAAAAACAGACAAACACACGCCAAAATTTTCCAGTTTGGATTTTCACATTTAGTTCAATTTGTACTAAAAATGAATATCCAAACTGGACAATCATTTCGAGACAGAGGGCGTATCATGCAAGTTCATGATCCCCTTTAGCACATTTTGTCAGATTCAAATCATACAGGAAATCTAGCAATCATTTTCCAACAAAATTATGAAGTGCCCAAAAAAGGGTTGCTGGCTTAATGTCCACTCAACAACCATATAGTAAAAGGTGAAACACTATGGAGAATAGAAAGGTAACCATTGCCTTTGAAAAACTTAATATCACCTTGACGTCACAAAAAAGTTTAAAGGGCAGACCCTACTGAACAGAAGACGCCGCAGAAACAAATTTGAGTTTCCTCCGAAAGTATACTAACCCAAAAGAACTGCTTTAGAAATATTGCCCAAGAAAATCTCCTTTCATCTAAAAATGTCTTCACCAGAGGTATTATTATGATTATCACCTCGTGACACTCTAAAGTGAGTTCCCTCTGCAATACAGCTACTCTGTAATATGATTTTGACCCTTTCAGTTTCCAGACCGTCTGAGATGGAGCATTGACCTCGGTGACTCTCTACATTAATTTAATATGTTAACTGTTATTTGTGTTTGACCATTGCGAGGAAGAAGAATCAAAGGCAGTTTTTCAATGCTACATCATTGATAGAAGCTTGCAAACTTAGCTTACATATGTCCAAAATGAAAAATTGACGCAGTTCTGACACTAGAAATCTGGGGTCCAAAAGACAACTATGCTGGGATTTATATGAAACAAGAAGTTCCAGTTAAAGCAAGGAGCACAATTCTGTAGATCTTTTTGATTTGGGGACAGAGCAATGCCTTAAACATGCTACATTCTGTTTCCTTTTTCTGTTTTTTTGATAAGGGAACATAAGAACTCTCTCAGGCTAAGAAAGACAACATTTCCTGCACCAACCAAATATTCAATAGCCTATAACTTACTCATTTGCGAATTGAAATCCACAAAGCCAAGGTTGATAGTAGGTTTCATGAAACACATTATCCTACTATCTTTTTCCTATAACAGATAGCTACACTATAACATCCACTCATATTACTTTTCCATACATCCTCACAAAATGGTTTTCTGGCCCTGCCAGTCCAATAACCTGTTCAAAAATATTGTGCAAGAGTTCATGAAATCAGATGCCCAAGCCTTTACACTATAGCTGGCTATAAAACTAGGAACCCATCTTTGACACACGGCAGGAGAACCAACTTAACAAACATAAACAATGCATGCTAATGTGATGAACTGAAGTTCCTCGTCTAGAATATACAATTGAAAATCAGTGAATAAATGGCCTTTCATCAAGAGCACATTTGAACCCCAACAGTGATTGTGGATTGGTTACTTATCATGACAATATCTTTTAGGCATTTTGAAATACATTTATTTGGAGTAACAGAAATACCATAACACTAACAAAGGTTTCAGCTAGGCCATGACCTAAAAACTTAACTGTTTGGAAATCTTAAGAATGAACTCATCCAAACAGAACTCAAAAACTATTTCTAGGACAATAATGGCTACATAAGTGATCAAAGCAAGTATATCACATGTCCAAACCATAATGAACTCAAAATTCCTCAGGATAGCAAAGCATCTAAAAGCAAGAGAAAGTGACAAACTTGGGCCAAAATAGTGAATGAGATGGTCAAAAGAAAATGTAATTACGTTTTGGACAAGGCATCAAAAATACCCTGAGCCTCAGGTGTAACTCCAACGCCGAACCTCTCAGCCTCCAACTCAGCTTGTCTGCAGATTCAATTAACCAAATCAATCACATTGAAACGCTGAAATCATAGACAGAAAACTCACATTCTGAACTGGGACACCAGATTAACGAAATTACCTAACAGCAGCTTCTTCTTTGGCCTGGAGACTATTAAGATCAAGAAAACATCTCTTGGTATCAAGTGGGTCTTCACCTTGACCCAACAAAGTAAACTCCTTTATGAAATTGGCTTTCAATATCCTAATATTCTTCTTAGGGCCGGACCCAGAATTTAATCCCTCTTGTTTTCTTCAAAATTCTCAGTTAAGGAATCTCAAAATCAACAGAACTGCAATGGACATTAAACATTGAAGAAAAAAGTTGGATTTGTGATGCAAAAAAGTAAGGAAAAAAAAGAAAAAAAAGCTGTAGAAAAAGGATATGAAGCACGAGCATGTTGGAAGCCCGGTCAAAGGTCAAAACTTGTCCTTGAAATTCCTCTCCAAAAGAAGTCTTGATGGAGAGTTTACATCCCACCGCGAAATCTTCGTTGCTGTGCTGAGCTTCCATGGATTTAGGACGTTCTCTTAAGAAGCTCGCTCGCTGCAACTGATTTGAGGTTTTATGGGGGAGCAATTGATCTTCTTTACTTGAGAAGTCCTTTAGTTTTGTTCTTCTTTTCGATTTAGGAATATGTTTTTCCAGGCTTATTTTAAATATTAAAAATTGGGCTCAATATTACAGGCCCAGCGTTGAAAGGCCTAATACCTTCTGGGGAACCATTGGACTGACTACGAGAGGAGATTTTCAGGGCAGCCCAGCTGTGATTTTTCGCAACAAAGAAAAATACCGACAATACTTACTCAATTCCAAAATTATTGTTTAATTTAAATTTTTATTTTTATTATTACAAATTGAATTTACAAAATAAATTTTGAAAATTAAAAATCTAAATCAAAAAATTAATTTGAATTTTTATTTTTATCAGTACAAATTTAATGTACAAATTGAATCAAAAGAAAAAATCGTAAATGGACAATAGTTTTGAGAGAGTCTCGTGTTACACTTACCACCATCATCATATGATTGCACCTAGGTAGAGATTTAAACCAACTTAACAAAAATACTAACAAGTGCTCCATGCGATACAGCTTAACTATAATCATGAGCATTTTTTTTTTTAACTCACGAGCATTATTCCGAATCTTAACACGAGTTTGCTTGTTTTGCATCATTTTCAGAGAGATCTATTCCGCTAAAATTTCTATGAATGGATAAAGTGATTTTGTGACACTGGTTGTAACTGTAACTATAAAAAAAAAAAATTAAAAAAAAAAACACTAAAAAGCAATCCCAATTTTGGAGGTTTAAAGTCACATGGAACATATAATGGTTTTTTTTTTTGGTCGAAAGTTGCAAGAGACATTACATATTCCTAACAATAACTATAATTTCTTTGATGGTATATATCTCAACATTGCATTTCATCATACATGATTTTTAATTATTCGATAAATTTAATAAAGTAAATTAATTTTTTTTGGGTTATATTTCTCGAGCTTTTAAACAATTTTATATCCAAAATTTTAAAATAAATAGATCATCACCGTCCAAAAAAGTGAATGTTTGAAAATAAAACTTTAATAATGCAAATGATTGTCGATGGGACGAATATTGATATGAAATATAATATTCAGATTAACTTATTTAGATTTAGAGTATGAAGTGGTGCTCTAAGTGTTAGAAAATGTACATTAATAAGTAATTGAGATTGAAAACAAGTCATTATTTTTCTTTGACGTGATCTAATAAATGTGTAACATTCAAATCACTATTTTTTATTTATTTATTTATTTTAACTATATCATCCAAGAAAGTTAACTCTCCTACAATCCCTTCTGATCTCTCCACGGAATCCAGTTAAGGGATTCATGCTACTCATTCTCACCATGGAATCTGCAAAATCACCAAAGAACGCGTCCATGTCACTGGCATACAATTCCACCAGCCGATCCACCGGTGTACCGTAATTATATAGCTCCTGATCGGAATGCAACAATGCACGGCGATTAATCAAGTTCACATAGTACAGATTGTCGAACAGATCAGCCGTTTGGAAATCCAAGGGGAGATTCTCGTCGTCGTTGTCGTTGATCGGACACAAGACCTTGACAGAATCAGCAAAATCAGGGTCGACATTGGTATCATTGTAAATGTGGTTTCTGAACCTGAGGCATCTGGCTCTCCCAATGGTGTGAGCTCCGGACAGGATCACCAAATCCCTGTAGTCAAGCCCTTTTGCTTCAAATGATGCAATTAGTTGAGGAAGGTTGAAAGATGGTGAAGGGATTTGCCCTGCCACTGAGTTGAAGCTCGCTACGAGTGAGTCTCTCCTGCCTAGACCAATTTCAAAGAATGGTCCTCCAAGCTGCCACATTCACATATGTAACACATAAATTCACTTATCTACAAGTCATTAGAAAAAAAAAAAATGGAATCAATTAACGTGACTCTTATTTTGGGACGACGTTATATGGGGAATTATTTGTGGTAGATTACCAATGCGACAGCTTCCCTGGCTGCGAGTGCTAGTATATCAGCACATGAAACAGTCTCAGGGCAGAATCTTTCCACTTCTGACTTAATAGTATCGATGAGTTCGAATCCTCGGGCCGAATCCTTGTTTGGTGGGGTGGATTTTTCTCCTATGAAAAAATCTGTATCATCCAAAAGGATTGAAGCATCACATCCCTGCAGAAAACATGCACAAAAACGGATATATAATGCCATGTAATTTGAATAAAAATAAATCATAAATGTTTGTTTCACTTACATTAACAAAACAATCATGGAAGAAGAGCTGGAGAATGGAAGCTCCCATCCTAGGATTCCGATTCAAAGTTGCGCGCATTATATCATGAACTATATCAGGCAGAGGAGTGCAGCTGTTCTCGTAGAAATCCAGGGAGAGTTGGGCGCTTGAAGGATTGAAGATTAGACCCAATGTTGCTAAGAAAATGCACGTGACAATGGTCATTCTGAAGCAGCAATGTACATAAGAAACCAATCGAAGTGATCGATTATTTGTACTTATTGACCATTGTGCTTAACCATTTTGTAAGGAGGGTAGGAGGAATGCATAAATGCGTTCAGATGGTAATTATAACCTGGTCCAAATTTTGTACAGAACAACAGCAAGTAAAGCTAAAAAAAGGGGCTAATTATTAACGGAAAATTACAGGAGTTATTCAAATGAGCTATATGTAGTTCTTTAATGGGAACTTTAATTTTCCGAATGTATATACATTGTTTGTTTGTTTTTTTTTTTGTCTCCACTGAAATGAATGTTTGTGTCAGGTTGTCAGCATCTTAAATTTCTTTGTGGTTTCTGTTTTGGTGGTCTTTTGATTTAGCTGGATTTTTTGTTGTTGGCTAGTTTTATTAGTACAGATTAAAGAACACCAATCATCGTGTTAGTCGTGATTTGATTTATTACTCTCTCCGTCTCAAATATATATATATATATATATACACACACACGTAACATTCAAATTGTTTAAACAATCATTTTATGGCATGATATGAAAACACAGTCTATATACGTATGGGCGGTACTGAAATAATCAATGTAGTTTTAGTGGTTGAAATATTTAATAAGGTTAGAAATCAAAACACACTGTCATATATTTTAGTTGCGAAATTTGGTCCATCCAAACTTGAATATGATAAACAGCCCACAAACACCATCATTTTTTAAAAAAAAAAAAAATTCCAAATGAGGACTAATTAACTGAAGAACCCTCTCCCAACCAATGAAGTGAGAAATTTCAGTGAGCAAAAACCAAAACTTTAGGGATATAATGCTGAATATCACCCTTACAATTCTAAGGTTTCTCAACAGAATGTAAAATTCTTAAGTCTCATGCCTTAAATAAAAATAAAAATAAAAATAACTACATAGAAAGAGGACAATGCTAAAATGGACGCCCTTAATCCACTAAAATATCAATCTCAACCTCTGATCAAGAGGTTATTGCCATGGCTACTTTCTGCACTTCTCCCCATAGCCCTTATGATCCTCTATTTCTATCCATTTCAATTATTACTTTCTCCATCTAATCTGCTTCTTGAAAAAAGTAACACTATCATCACAGACTCCAAGTTGGCCTCTTCTTCTGTTTCTCCTGTTCTTCATAAAGAAAGGGTTGTTTCTAAGGATGAGAAAGAGATCACATGTGATTATTCAGATGGAATTTGGATCCATGACAGCAGGGGACCATTGTATAATGGAACAACATGTAACACAATTAAGGATGGCCAGAATTGCATGAGACATGGCAGGCCAGATATGGATTATATGTATTGGAGATGGAAGCCAAATGTATGTACATTGCCCAGGTTTGATCCTGAAAAATTCCTGCATCTCCTCAGGAACAAGAGTTTGGCTTTCGTTGGCGATTCGGTCGCGCGAAACCAGCTGGAATCCCTGATTTGCATGATGGCTACCGTATCATCACCTAATCTTCTTCATACAAATGGCGAGGATAACAAATTTAGGAAATGGCATTTTCCTTCTCACAATGTGACTGTCGCCATCTTCTGGTCTCCGTTTCTAGTACGAGGTATCGAGAAAACTGATGAGAGTGATGTGAAGAGGAATTTTAATAGGTTGTACTTGGATTCTGTAGATGAAAAATGGGCAGGGGAAGTGAGTAATTTGGACATGATTGTTTTGTCTATGGGACATTGGTTTCTACTTCGTGCAGTGTATCATTATGGAGATACAGTACTAGGTTGTCACTTCTGCACTGGTCAAAATTACAGTGAGATTGGATTTTATGATGTTTATGGCAAAGCATACAAGACAGCACTTAATGCTATAATTGACAGGAAAGGTTCTATTGGTGATGCAATTGATGTTTTTGTGACTACCTTTACTCCTTCACATTTTGAAGGTGAGTGGGACAAGTTTGGAGCTTGCTCAAAAACTCAGCCAGAGGAACCAACTCAGAAGAAGCTTGTAGGGATGGATGCCGAAATGAGAAACGCCGGAATTCGAGAAATTGAGGCTGCAAAAATGAAAGCCAAGGAATTTGGTAAAAAAGTGAGATTTCAGGCTGTGGATGTGTCCTGGTTATCTCTACTGAGGCCAGATGGCCATCCAGGGCCCTATTCCAATCCTTTCCCGTTTGCGAATGGGATCACGGACCGTGTACAAAATGACTGTGTGCATTGGTGTCTACCAGGACCAATTGATACATGGAATGAAATTTTGTTAGAATTCATGAATAAATGGGAGGGAAGACCAGTATAGTATAAAATCACAGTGAAAAAAGAAAGTGGTTTCACTGTTCTCCTTTGGGGCTTTCCAGCCTTTGCAAGAATTCACGTAGAGAAACCATGCTATTGACTGACTAGTGTAAGCATTTAAATAGATTGTACACTAACCAGTTTGATATACAAATTCATATAATGTAGATTTGGCAGGAGGGGGAGTTGCAGATGTATACATGCCAACAAAATTTTGATGGTAGAATCAAAGTTGTGAATGTGATGTTCTTCAACCTATAGGTAGATTAACTAACTGGAGAAATGTAAATTTCCACAATGTGAAGCTTAGACTGCTTTCAGAAGTTCAACTTTCACACGAAACTTTATAGTTGGATAATTCCAAATAAAACTTGGAGATCTGCTGTTTTTGTAGGTTGCAAAAACTGTTGCTTGTGTTTGTCAAATATGACAATTGGACGACTTAGCTTGATACGGCTCAAACTATCATGAGTAGAGCTAAAAGAATGTTAGTTCCATTGAAATTCCAGGAAAAAGAACAGAATTGATTGCTTCAACAAAATTCTACCAACTTCAAAGCTGCATTGTTGTAGTCTTTTAAGTTCATCTCGAGTGTCAGAGAGTAGTATACAGAAGGACCAAACTCCAAATGCCATATCTGCAAAAAAGATTCTGGATTTGGAAAAAAAAAAAAAATTTAAAGACAAAAAAATTCGGGACCTTGGAGCTTTTCCCAGAGGAAAAAAAAAAATTGACCAACTGAACTGAAAAGGTAAAAGTTTTTACTCACTTCCACTATGTAGTGTCTATTTGATGTTGCAAGATTTGCTCATTTGTCCAGATAACATACTTTATCTCATCTGCGCTTTCCATTCCAAAGCTTCTATCACCTGAAATGGCCATGGCCTCCCCAGCTTATCTAACATCATACTTTAGAATTGGCTCCCAGTCTCACTTTCCTCGCAACTTTTATTGCATCTCTTGTTTCAAAAACCATCAAAATCCAATCTTTGCACCGAAAGATGCACACCCTTTCCTCCTCCTCCCTAAACAATCCACATCCAATCTCGTCCTTCCATTATCAACTTCCCCATCTTCTTCTTCTTCCTCCTCCTCTTCTCCATCTGATTCTTCCCCAATCCCCACAATCAGGAACCCACTTCCAACTGGTCGATTTCTGACGAATGATGAGCTTGCAAAGCTCGAATTTCTTGAGAATTATTGCTATTTTCAAGAATTGAAATCTGGGTATTTGTATATGCGGGTGATGGAGCAAGAAGAGCTGGATTTGACGGCCGGCTTGTTGGCTGAGTCTTTTGCGGATTCAATGTTTTTGCCTAAAGGGTATGTGAAACTATTGGAGTATTTGGTGAAGCAGTATTTGATTGAGAGGAGGGCTTTAATGCCTCACACCGCCACACTTCTTGGATTCTATAAAGAGGATGAAGATGAGGATTTTCAGGTAGCTGGAACAGTGGAAGTTAGTTTTAATAAGATGGGGGCAAATGCTTCTCCTCCTTCTCCTACTCCTCCCAAAAATTCTCCTTACATATGCAATATGACTGTGAAGGAATCACTGCGAAGGTAACCCGCTTAATTCTCGAAAATCCAGTCTTTAGCTCACTGTATTTTATTTGCTTTTAAGTACTTCTTTATTAGTTCAATCCTAATGTATGATTATAGCCCTTGTTGATACAATTTGCAGCAATTTGTTTTTTACTCTTTGTTTATGTAGTTATGGTGACTGTTAATTTGGTTGGTAATGCAAAAACCAAAAATGCTGGATGTACAGGAGGGGCATTGGTTGGCATCTACTCAAAGCAAGTGAGGAACTGATTGCGCAAATGAGTTCCTCAAGAGATGTATTCTTGCACTGCAGAATGATTGATGAAGCTCCCTTCAATATGTACACAAGAGCTGGATATACAATTGTAAAGACAGACAGCATACTGACCCTGTTGACATTGCAGCGGCGTAAACACTTAATGTACAAGCAAATTCCAGTCTCTGTCAGCCCTTCTGAAATGGATATGTATAGTCAGGAACCTTCTGCAACGAATGGAGACTTGTAATGGATTGTCATTGGTGAGGTACTGTAGTTGTTACCACTTTTTCCCTTCCAGAGATGATTAAACATACTGAATACTATGAAAGTTTCTTTTCCACATTGTTCTTTATGCTGTCTTCTATCTGAAATATAGTTTGAAAGCTTGATAAATTATTCATAGATCATGCCTGTACCTGATAAGGTTCAGGATGGAAGGTCAAGTGGCTGCTCTCATTGACCGGGATTATCCTCTAACCAACCTAATTAAGTTGAGATAAAATCTGGTGTCGAACAATCTTAACGTATTTTATCTTTCTGACTTAGTGAATATTTGAAAGAGAAAAAACTCTTCGGTTTTGCATATGATTGATTGTTTAAAACTTCTTTTTAAATTTTTATGAAGATAAGTTCCAGTGAAATCCATACAACAGTAATGTCAAACTACTTGACACAGAAGCTAAATTATAAGAAGGAATAATTCTAATTTACAATTCATTGGGTAAAAAGTAATCCCATAACGGAAATACCCCATTGGAAAAACTGGCGATCTGCTGCAGGAGATCAGCAAATCGGGAAGCCATCACTATTCACTCAGGGAGTTCTTTTGGTATTAATTTTGTACAGTATCTTCTTCTACACCAGTTTATCAGCTCTTCCTTCTTATATCTTACTACCCCGAAATCAAGGGTTACTCTTTTTGTTCGTGGAATCTAAAGCTATTAGTAAGAAATCAAATTTCTAATCTGGAAAGTTTTTATGAATGCAGCTGGAAGCATGCCTGATGGTGAGTGACATTTTACTGGTCTGCTTTGTTTCAAATCATCCGGAGAGCATGCATGGTCATCCCGAGCCCTTTCGAATTTGTGTAGACAATAAGTTGGAGCTCCTTCACGCATTCTGTCATTGAGGGTCGTTCCATACTATCACTCCTAACACAGCGTGATGCCAGACTTGCAAACATAGCTATAGACTCCATTGTATAAGAACTTCTGGTCATATTGGGGTCAGTGATCTTCCTCAACCTTTTCTTGTCATTCAATATATTCCTAAGCTGCAGCATTACAAAAGCAGCTAGTACTGCATCAGATATTCCTTCTCTGATTTGCTCTCTCCGGAAATCTACTGTTATAGTGATGATTTTGCTATACCTGCAATACCAAGTTCTGATCATTTGGTCCTTGGTGTAGGTCAACTGCCCTCCGTCCAGTCAAAAGCTCCAGCAGAACGACGCCAAATGCATATACATCACTTTGTAAAGTCAGTTTCCCTGTCTATGGCCAATTTAGATACACGAAAGTTCAGTCCTTTGTGCCCAAAGTAAAATTAGGTAGGTGCAAATCGACTCTTGAAGTATTTAAATGTCTTTCGCAATGAACCTAATGTTTCACACTTATAAAAATGTGTGGGGATAACAATCTTTGACATTAATATAAACATACCAATGTATATTCCGGGTCAAAGTAGCCAAAAGTGCCTTGAACTCTAACTGTTACACATGTTTCTTGGCCTTCTGGCATCACCTTCGCAAGACCAAAGTCTGAAATCTGTGCTAAACCAGAAATATATGGCAATCATTGTCACAAGTGAACTCCCTTTAAAAGACTTAAAGATGTTGGGTTGTAATTATAGATCTGTGTTTACCTTTGCTTCATAATTGTTATCCAGGAGGATGTTGGTGGATTTGAAGTCGCGATGGACAATTGGAATTCCAACGGCAGAACTTGAATGAAGGTATGCCAGTCCCCTTGCAGCTCCAAGAGCTATTTTGAGCCTCAATGGCCAATCCATCTTTAGTTCGCCAAAACCTGGAAGCCAGAGTGAGGCTCAAATGCATTTAAATAAATTTAAACATTCAAAAGTCAACCGGGTACTAACCATTTAAGTGATCTTGCAGGTTTCCTTTTTGCATATACTCATACACCAGAAATCTATGCTTCCCATCTGCACAATAGCCTAATAGAGATACCAGATTGGCGTGGTCCAATCTGCTCAAAATATCAACCTCCACACGGAATTCCCTTTCTCCTTCTGCTTCTTTGAATGAAGGTAGATCCATTTTTTTGATTGCTACAACCTTCAATTCAACAACAAGTTATCAATTTAAATGTGTGTTCTGTATGCTGTGTATCTTTACATCATGATTGAAAATGGTTATCTGAAATTTGAGTTAGCCACTGGTTGTGAAAACTCATTCATGATAGGGATGCTTGAACGCCTTTGCTATATTAAAGAGATACCTCTCCGGACTTCAAAGTGCCCTTATATACTCGACCAAATCCTCCTTTTCCTAGCAGATTTTCATCGCTAAAAGAGTTGGTTGCCACCTCCATTTCCTTAAGTGTGTATACTGATGATCCATGGTGTCTTTTTGTAGGTCGAAATCTATCCTCAATCTGCCAGCATTCCACGGGCTTATAAATCCCTGAACAGTTGGAGCACAAATTTTGAGCATTAGTTCATTCATACAGAGGGTAACTAGTATGTTTGAGGAAGCGGGATTCAAGAATATCAGATGCAATGGCTTACAAGGATTAATATGATCCTCAGACTTGCTTCTCCGGCGCTTGTTCCAAGCTGAGACTAAACCAGCAAACGGCATGATATTCTTCCTCTTGTCTTTTTTATGATTTTCAAAGAAGTATAATATTACGAAATTGATACACAACTTTCATGAAACAGTATCTTTAACTACTACAAAGTTACAGGCTAATAGAGCTCTGGAAAAATGAGGAGATTTTAATGTGATTAGTGTGGTGGAAATCCAAATTCTACTCCAATATATTAGGTATTAGGAAAGATTGAAACAACACTGTACATCATCAAGAATCCCCAAGGAGTACGTATAAAGCAAACTCATGATAGCTTAGGGAAATACTCAACCATACAAGAATACCATGGTTCAACAACCTGGAATCCTCACTTGATGAATAAGAAAAAGTACACATAGGAATGAAAAGGGCCTAATGGTTGCTTACTTTAATGCTGAGAAAATATGGGTGGTGGGGTAAGGGGGCGTAAAGGGGTTACATCTCTGAAAAGGAAAGAGGAGCTGCAACCTCACCAATTACCACCACCACCCCCTTCATCATTTCTGTGACTTGCTAAAGGTTGTTCTTTTCTTGTTATCATTTCCATGCTAATTGTTTTCTGATTTACCAGTGGAATTATTTAGCAGCAGGAAAGAACTCTGTGTAAGAACTTCTGACAAAGAATTTGTACATTGAACCTTGGAATTATTCTGGGAAATTTAACCAAATCTTTATCCCAGGTTACAATAAAATATTCTCACACGCGCGGACACACACACGGTTTAACAAAAATATTAGATTTTTTTTTCTATTATTGGTACCAGTAAATGCCATGAGATTCTACTCGTCTTTAGCAAAAATCTTAGGACGGGAATTAAATGAAAATCTAGTGGTTAAGTTGTTGTTTTTTCTAGTGATAGACTAGGTTCAATTCTCACGAAAGGTTGCAAGGGGGTTTTACCCACATTTAAGTGATTTTCTTTAAAAAAAAAAAAAAAAAAACCTTGAATAGGACGATAAAATGGAATGATTTGTGGATTACTTTTTGGAAGTGAAGGAATATTTTAGGACTGTGATTAGCAATATAAGTAGAGAATGGATGATCCACAATCCTTAAAGTGGGCTCTCTCACCTTCTGGGGGCCTTTTCTGTAGCTTATAAGTTCTATCCAACCCAATGGACCTCTATACCTATTTCTTTACCCAATGAGATCTTATTTCAGCCCAAAAGGAATTTGGCACTGGAAAGTCAGTAGATTTGTCGTTTTGGATAAAATTCTCAATTTTAATAAATTTTAAAGTAAGAAAGGATTGTATAAGATTCGATAAACTAGTCCCATAGGGTGCCTGACAATGTCGCAGCCGAACTGTGTTGCCGTGAGATATATTTTGTGACCTAGGAAGCAGCAATTTTAGGGCCTTGGTCCTAAATCCGTTTTCGTTCAATTTTTGCTCAATTTTCATTTTTTTTTTTTTCTGTCTGTATATGAATCAAGAAAACGCTCTGACCACTTCGGAGGCATCATTATATTTCCATGGAAATAAAAATAGTAAAACGGGTAACAACAGGAGACGTGGGATTCAATGTCTTCAAAATCCTTAACAGTTTCAACAACCAAAATTCAATAACGGAATTTAAGACTTTCAACTGCTCCTCCCTGCACCACCTTAATTTTGGTTGGTTGATGAATGATGATGACCAAGTGTTACAATTTACAAGGCGGCCCCATGATGATTCTTAAAATTATTAAGTTTTTGTGAAAAAGAGGTCTATTGGCAACGTAATTTTCAGTCGGTCAAACTAGTAGTATTAAAGAGCATGCGTGTGCATGGGATCATCATCATCATGGTCAAACAGAGTTACTAATAACACAAGGGAAGAAAAGAAGAAAAAAAAAAAGACACTTGGCAATTGCATGCATTTAAGAGGAATTTAACCATTCGGTGCAACGGTTACCCAAATGCAGAGTAAGTGCAAAAACAAAAACATTTTGGTCATCAGTTTTCAATAAAAACAGCACCGGCAGTACAGATAACGCATTCTGGCGGCAGGTGAACATGATAATTGATAGCCATCTTCATAATTACATATATGGCGTTAAGGAAATTGGTGGGGGATGCCCATTAATTCAAGAAAATACTTCAATCTTCCATTATTTTTTCATCTCTATAAATAGTTGTACTTGTTTGGGTTCTTCTTGCATTGCAGATCTCAACTCACAGAATTTCCAATCGTTTCTCTCTCTTTGTTATAGTATATCAGTAGCTTTGCATTATATGGTAGCAACAGCACCACCTCTAATTAATTAACCTGCAGAAATGGCGGCCACCGGGAAGATAGATGTGGAGGTTGAGCTCAAGTCTCCGGCAGACAAGTTCTGGGCTGCGATTAGGGATTCCCCTGACCTTTTTCCTAAGGCTTTTCCCAATCAGTACAAGAGCATTGATGTTCTTGAAGGTGATGGCAAGTCAGTTGGGACCATTCGTTTGGTCAAATATGCTGAAGGTGAACTACTATTCATTCAATTTGATTCATATAGTCGCTCCCACCGTTTTGTTTGACGAAAAGAAAAGTGTGCAACATTGTGACTAGTAAAATTTTGGTTGAAATGATTATGCAGGATCTCCAGAGATCACATTCTCAAAGGAGAAGATTGAAGTTGTTGATGAAGGTAACAAAACAGTGAGTTACAGCGTGATCGACGGGGACCTCCTCAAGTTCTACAAGGTGTTTAAGCCAACCCTGGTGGTGAGCTCCGAGGGTGATGGGAGTGTGGTGAAGTGGAGCTGTGAATTCGAGAAGGCAAGTGAAGAAATCCCCAATCCAGACATCATCAAGGAGTTTGCAGTCAAGAATTTCCAGGAACTGGATGCTTATCTCCTCAAGGCATAAAATGGCTGATCACGGGGATTTATTCCCTCTCAAATAAATTGCACCGTTTTTAGCTAGTTTGGTGTTTCGTTTCGTTTGTGTTAGTTGAATGTCCTGAGTCAGTAGCTCAGTAAAACAATGTTCTGTCGTTTCTTTTCTTTCAAAATTTTAGATCCATCATATATTTATGAAAAAAAAAAAAGACATTTTCTTTGTCATTTCCCTTTGAGTTTGCCAAAGCAAAAAAATGCTACCAACACAATATAATAGTGAAAATGAGGAAATTGTATTAATATTTCGGAAATGAAAACATTTTCAGAGGGTCAAGAAGCTTTCCCAACAGAAACCCATAAAACAACTATTACATGATGCATTTGTTGGAGGGGCATCAGTTTCCCTCACGAGACATCCTTTATCAACATTGAAGATGTAATACTTGTCGGAAACTCGCGAAACCATTACTATATCTCCATTGCTAGATGAATTGGGAAAGAGAAGACTACGAACTGTTTTCAACGTTGGAGGCGGAATCTCCATTTTGATGTTGTATTCCATTACCCATGTTCTTTCTCCACCATTGTTGTTATGATCATCATCCTTTAGTGCCCAAATCTCCAAAACAGAGGTCTCTACTCACATCTGTCACACATAATGTACCTTTGATATCCACCAAATTAATCCAAACATCCCATAATTTTCCAGTATTTGTTTCCCAACCCGGGGGAGGATGAATGATTTCAAACTTTTCAGTCTCAAAATCCAAACCAAGAATCAGCTCATTGTCTCTTCTTGCGTAATCCTTGAGAAAGAGGTGACCAGTTTCTTCGTATACAAAATTAGTGCCTCCATCCTCAATCAACCAACACATGGTGGAACCAACTACGAACCCACTCTCTGCATGACCAACCCAACGCGGACAGGAATTCTTTGATGCTCTCCAACAAAGGCCGGCAATGGCATCATTAATCTGATTGGCCCGGAAGGTGAAAATCTCGCACAAAACTTCTCCGCCGCTGTAATCTATGTATCCATCTTCGTCCTGGATTGAAACTCTCCGGGTCAAATTGACCGCAACATATTGTCTTTTCGAAACAATGTAACCAAATCCTAGCATCTGATCTACCACAGGATTTGAGGGTTCATCCATTGAAATAGATATGGGCAGAATCCGAACCTGTGTCGTGATGGGATTACAGAGACAAATATCCGACCCGGTTGCGAAGCATACCATATCGTGACAAGCGTTTGGAATACAAAACATGCGGCCTGAATCAGGCATGGTGAGTTTGTAATTGATAACTGTATGACCGTCCACAATGTGGGCGTGAGTGAAACTCATATCTAACCAATCCACCGGAGCAAGATCAATGAAGCGAAGGAATTGGTTCTTCAGCAGAGCTATCTCACGGTGCCACATGTGAAATGAAGTGTCCTGACTCCTGAGATATCAAATGATTCCACGATCTGGAAAGTCACTAGAACTTGGATAGAGTTTTAACGTTGAGCCTCGCCTGAATGTCGACCAACAGGGCTGCCGGCAGTGGTTCTCCGGCGAGATGATAATCATTGTATTCTTCCGCATATATGGCCATCGTCCAAATGTGCTTCTTTTTCTTCTTTTATGATATATATACCATAGTGATTTGAGAGAACCCGGAGGGGAAAAGAATTATGGAATTCGTTAATGGATCATTTTAATTTTATTTTTTTTTAAGAAATGAGGAATAAACATAAGAATGTCTGTATCAGAATATCAGACCATCTGATTAATTTGTCCGAATTTCTCCGAAACATAAGATCCTTTTTTCTTTTTTTTTTTCGTATGGCTTTAATTCTGTGTCATTCTTTTAAATGCCTTGAGCCTCTGCAGAGAATGATTTCGGCCTAAAATAAATCAGAGAGGGTGAGAACTGAGAACAGAGAAAGAGAAGCGAAGCTAAGGGATGCGGGCTTGGACCTATAGCGGGTTTAGTCTTTTATGAGTTTGGCCCATTTATTCTCAAGCAAGATTGATTTTTTTTTCCCTAACATTAATTAAATGATGAAAAAACTCTAATAAAAAATATTAATTTCATAATATAATTTTCTTGAAATATTTTGTAATTAATTGAAAATTAAAAAAATGAAAAACATTGTTAAATGGTGTATATATTTATATAATTTTCCAGTTATAGTATATTAATAATACGTACTACTATGATGCTAGTCTTGAGTCTCTTGATTCACCCAATCACCCTAACTCGGCCACTGCAAGGGGTTGGCTCATTTTGCATTGATTTTGATGAATTACTTTCTTGCATAAAAATTTTGGATCCAAAAATAAAACTTGCAGTTATCTAGAATTTTTAACGAAATTCTTTATCATAATATTCCCATGTCCCTAAAAAATAAAAAAAAAAATTGAGATTTTTATTAAAAAAAAAGTAAATTAGTAGATTTTTATTAAAATTTGAGATTTTTATTAAAAAAGTAAATAGACTTTGAAAAAGTAATGTTCTGCATGATCATTAAGAAACTATTGTTACTATGGTTTATTACTTTATTGTATGGGAAGTTTCCCAATCTAACCATTTAGATTGACTAGCGTATCGTATCGATTACTTGACTTGCGTCCAATAACTACGTAGTTTATAACTTTATATTGCGAGAATAATAGTTGTCCAAAAAGTTAAAATTAATTTCATGTCTAAATCGGTACTAATTTTTGGAACATCATCCAAAAAGTTATAAAATATAATTTTTTTTTACAAAGTTATAAAATATTGAAAGAAAATAAATATAAATGAGACTTTTAGTAGGCTGGGCCGAATGAATGATACTGGGCCGAATGAATGTCAATGAATGTTTTAGAAGGAAAAAGAAAAAAAAAAGGGAGAAAAGTAAAATATGATTAAAAAAACATAAGTTTTTAAATGATGGTTCAATTTAAAATTTTTATCTTAATTAATACAAATAGGCTTTGTCCTAGGAAATTAAATTTGATGAAGTAACGGAATCATTATTTGTAACGAATGGGCTCAAAGATACAAATAGGCTATCTCGTGGATGTGCTTTTTATGAAATATGTTCGAAAAAAAAGGTAGGTTTCTTTTTTTTAAAAAAAAAAAAGAGGAAATGAAAACCCCATGAAATAAGGATAGGCGAAACGGTGAAGTAATTAAAAAAAAGTATAGTGTTGGGTGTTAACGCATCGTAATTAGATTTTAATTTCGAAATGGCATTTTATGTTTGGGCAACTACACCGAATTATAGTATCTATAAATTACTTTCAACGGGCATGTCACTGTAAATATCCTTTTTGTCCGGCTGTAAAATGTACATAGACGTAGTACCAAGTTATTCCCTTTCAAATAAATTTAGGAATATTCCCCCGGCTTCCCAACCAGAAATTCCAGAAGGAAAGTAGTAGGCTTTCCAATTTTGGATTCGATATGCCTTTGGGTTTTTGTTGGCAAAGCTTCTTGACTTGACCCTTTGAAAATGGAATTAAAGAGACTAATAATTTTTTGATGTCTACATTCTTCCCATGATTGTATTAGTTGTACACAAAAACCACATAGATCGTCAATCTGCTAAAGTTATGTGAATATCTTTGAGGAATTATAATGGAATACAACACCTTAGTCTGATCATTGTTACAGCAGGGAAACATACAATTTAAATTGGTTTTCCTCAGCTATAACCTGCGGTTCTATATTTGTAACGCACAATTTAATTTGATACTCGTGAAAAGTGCAAATATCAGACGCAATTCAGTTGAGTCACTAGCAGAAAAGCCTAACTGAGCTCAAAATCATAGGCCCAATAATTGGAAGCCCAACTGCTTTTGGGGGATTATTGGAAGTTGGGAATTCCATCTCTACTTCACTCTTTTCATCAAGAGTAATGTCCCTAATTTGTATTTTAAATTTGGGAAAAAAAATAACATTTTTATCCTTTACAAAATTATTAACATCACCATTTTGTTTCTGTCCTTTAGTCAAAACTGAACTTTAGTTGTTGACTTTTCTAGGAGTAAAAACCAATCAATCGTAAATTTTCATCCAAAAAGGTTAATATTAAAAGTTAGTCCAAACTATCTATATTAGCTGGCGTCCAAACTATTTACCTTTTTATATTGATTTCAACAACTTTAAAAAAAATCTTCGAATCATATTATCAATTTATATACATACACGTTTATGTATACTACATGTAGTTGTGTTTATGGAAATAAAAAATGGGAAATGATAATGAAAATTGGGTGTAACAAGAATGAAATATAAGAGGGAAGAAAGTAGTGGGAAATTTTGGGAGGGGAGTTGTTGAGTGATTATGAACTTGCAAACAGCAGAAAGGAACGAGTAACGACATACTATTCAGTGGTCCTGAATTTCTTTTGCTTTTTCACAGGAAAAAAAAAAACTGAGTAAAGAAATGTTTGACTCCCGTACATAACACATAGAGAGTAGTTTTTTATTTTGAAAATTGGCAACCTGGGATTTCACATTTCCCAGATTGATTTTTGGATTTATATTCCTTTTTGTACATAGACTCTGGCCCCCAGTTTAATTGACTAGATGAGGACCATATTTCTGTCTCAAAACAAAAGGTTTTCCCTGCTCTCTCAATCGCTGCTCTGCCTCAATGAGTCAGCTCCGGTGAGCCCAACTGCAAATTTCCGGCCAACAACTTGGCGGGATGGCATCGATCAAATAAAACAATTTTCATTATTCATTCTCCTGCAACTTTATTGTCCAATTTTGATTTTTATTTTAAATAAAAAAAATTGAATTAAAAAACAATTTTAAGATGCAGCTCATTAAATATCATTATTTTTACTTACAATATTTTAAAAACAATTATAAAGTGCATGGAAATGTAATTTTCGTGCTTTGTTGTCATGCTGCGAAATGAACATATATAATACCAAGTTATTCCCTTCATATAAATTTAGGAATAGTTCTCCCATCCCTAAAAATAACATACTCGCTTTATTAGCAAAAGGTTAGACTATCGGTTATTAGTTATCACTATCCCGAATCCAGAATCCTTGGTTGATATATCATAGCTGGAGATGTGATGACCATCATAATAGAATAAATAAAATGAACCACGCGCGATAATAATACAAATAACGTCACCACTCACCATAATGGCTCACTTTTACAGTAAGGGAAACTGCCAATTTCGTCTTTTGAATCCCTGTCCACGAACAAGTCTTCTGTCAGACTCAATGGATCAAAACCGGAAAGATTTACAACCTTCCCACGTTACTTTTTATGTTCGTCGTAATTCCCTCAAATTGTAGTAGCTTGGACTTGCCACTGAGTAGTAGCTTTTGATTACAGAAACTGGTAATGATAATAATAATAATAATAATAAATTTACATTATCTTTTTATTTAATATGTAAATATGAAGGAGAAAACCTGTAGTTTGCAAAGAAGGTCGGCCATTCCTAACGAGTATGTTTACACATAAGTTTAATAATCCTTGGAGGAAGGGTGCAACCATGCATGCATGCATGCACATGTACGTACATACACATACATGCAGCTAGATAAGAGGGAGTGGTGCCAAGTGGCAAACCATCATCATAAAAAAAGACACACGCGCGCGCGTACTACCAGCTTATGTGACACATAAAATTAAAAGTTTCCAAACACATTATTTATGACACATATGAAATCCAATTTCAAATGGGGAAATAGTTGTCCACATTAGTATTTATGAATGTTACAAAATCTCGTATTGTTTCATGCTCTTGTGTATATTAAAAGAAAAACCGCTAGTATTGTTTAATTCAGTTTGGGATTTGGAAAGAATCGTTAACGGTTACAAAAACTGATAATATGTAGTACCATAGACATAATTTCACTATTCATCCTCAATTTCTGCGGCTTAACGATTGAGTTTTGAGTGTGTTATATAAACATAGTAAATCAATAATTCAACATGACTAATGGGAATAATAATATAACTAGATATGAAACAAACATTAATAAAGACAAAGAGCAGATAATATTACTACATAATTAATTATATACTACTTCTACAGATAATGTTGTTGGGGAAGGTGGGAAGAAATGAAAATATAAAAGAAACATGGTGGGGTAGTTGTGTCTTGGGAGGGTATTATCAAAAACAAAATAATCCTAAATGCAAAGTTTGCAAACCATACCATATTACTCCAGTCCAGGATATTATCAAAAACAAACCCCCTGATCAATTATTAAGTTATAAATCCAACATCAATACCCATTACTTTGATGCATTCCTTCACTCACATAAGCAAAATGCTGGTGATGATGATGGTAAGATGACATTGAGCTGTTACTCTCACCAACATCTTTCTCATCTTCTTCTTCTTCTTGGACGAGCTATGTTTTCTCTACGGAAAAAAGTGTTTAAAAAAAGAATAGAAAAAGAGGGGAAGATAATAATAATAATAATAATAATAAAATGGCTGTAAAAATAAATAAAAACTAGTATGAAGTTGGTTTGAGGTCCGCAAGCAACACAAAACAGATTTGGAATTTGTTGTTAATATAACTAGATATTAAACCCGCACGATATGCGGGATAGATAAATTTATATTTGATTTTTCATTAAAGATATGTATATAAAAGAAAAGACGAAATGAAAAAATGTTAAAGGTTTATTTTATTTGTTAAAGCGTAAAGATTATGACATATAAAACAATTAATATGGAACGAATTGAAGTATACAAAGAGGGGGGAAATATGGGGGAAGGGGGAATTTGCAATTTAATCGGAGTAATAAAGAACATGGGTAATTTAGTAATAAAAAACATGATTTAATCTATAAAATGTGATGAATAACACCTAAAGGTTTTTGACCTGATCTTAGGGTTGTTTTTCACCATACCTGTGGCAAACTGAAAATAGAGAAAAAGGGAAAAAAAAAATAATGATAGATCTAATTAAAAAAATGCAAAATTTTTAAAACATACAATTATTTTTGAATGAATCTTAATAATCTTCGGTTTTTAGATATATGATACTACCTCTCTTCCAAAACAAATAGTCCATATTGAGTTTTTAAATTTGTACTAAAAATACTACAAAACTCAAAACTCAATGTGGACTATTTTTTTGGAACGGAGGGAGTACATCCTTCAAAATTACAAAGAAAATCATTTTCTCTTTGTAGCTTAAACTCATTGGCTTCCCGTGAAAATTATAATCCTCCCATTAAACATACCAATTCATGTATAATCCTTCAAAACATGTACGACTCTATATTCAAAATTTTCATTCGAAAAATAATGAAAAATGAATTATTTGATAGAAGCGTTTACCCAAAAAATAAAATAAAAATCAGAAGTGACTAACGTCATTATCTTTCCTGTTTGAAAGCTTTTCGACATCTGCAATGAGAACTTCAATGTCGTCAGGAATATAATCAAAAAACTCATCCATCATCAAGTAGGGATATTTTTCATTTTTCCCCTTACAATTAAATTTAATCAAAGCACATAAATTCAAGGCTATAAAGAACATAAAGATTAATTTAATCAAAGAAAAGGAATTAGGAATACAATTCGATCATGGTTTGAACGGGCGTCTCCATCTTGTTGCTGCTTTCCCTGGTCTTCCCCCCCCCCCTCCATCTTTGACTCCGGAAAGACGCAAAATACGTATGAAGATGACCATCTAATCTACCTCTTCAACGTTTGCCCGCTCAACAGAGTCATCCATGTTAAGGTATATATATCATACTACTTCCATTTCTTTTGTATCAATTAGTCATTGTTAAATAATTAAAGAATTCAAATCGTCATTAATATTCTGAATTTATGCATGATTGCTGAAACACAATTTGGGTTACACAAAATCATGAATGTGGTCATGATTTTGTCAACATATAAAGTAAATTAAGCTATGTTTTACTTAAATTATTAAATTTAAATTTCAAAAAACATCATGCAATCAATTCGTGGATTTTGAATAATTAATTTTTGTAGTTAATGTTTTTGAATTCAAAAAGATATCATTAATTCTTAAGGCAAATTCAAATTATTTATTTATGATATTTATTATCATTGAGATGAGATTTTATTTCCAATTTCAACTTCCATCACATTGATTGTATAGGATAATTGCTTAAGATGGTCCCATATCAACCAAAGGTAGATGAAAGATTTTCATTAACTTTTTAAATGTAATTTGTTAAACCTTTATTTACAGAAAATTCAAAAGACTAATAGTATAATTATGCAAAATATTATTTGAGACGTGCATTATAAAAATGCCACATAGATGTTGATTGATTTGTTTTTTTTAAAAAAAATAGGGATTATGTTCTTTTTTCTTTCTTTTTTTTTGATGAGAAATAATTACTTTGATAGGGAGTCATTGATGACTTTGTATTAATCTTTATTTTGAATTTCAAAAAAAAATCTTGTGTAGTGATGAAATTAATTTTTAAAGGCATAATTATGTGGCAATTGGAATCGAATCAATCAGCATTAATGTAGTTTTTTCAAACTTTGTTCCCTTTTAAAAATTTTCCTCTCACTGAATGCGTTTATGAGTTTGACCACAGAATGTTATTACTATACATTAATTGTGTAATCAATTAACTATTGCTTTTTGGGAAATTCAAAGACTTTTATTGCAATTGTTGTAAATATTTTTTATGCCCACCAATAGAAAAATGACACATAAAATTTTGTCCTATGTGTCAACGGGAGGAGAAGTTTTATTCCCTCTCTCTGGTTTCTCTCTTAGTATAATACTATAGATAGATAATAATAATAATAATAATAATAATAATAATAATAATAATAATAATAATAATAATAATATAAAAAGGTCTTATTTCCACACCCAAGACCCAACAGATCCAATCTCAATATTGCTTTATTTTCTCTCACCTTCTCTTTGTCTGGTTCTCCTTTTCTCTGTCTGGTTCTTCTCTCTAATCTCATACTCTCACTTTCTCTACCCACATATTTTAACATCAACCCAGTCGCCAACCATGGACGGAGGCCGCAGTGTGATCATGTCTGCCGTTGGAGTTTTTTGTGTGGTTGATATGTATGTTGTTTAAATTTCCCCTTTGTCTTGTTTTGTTGGGTTTGTTCTCTTAGTTTGATATATACCGAATTCAATAGTAATAATCATTAACTTTTCCTTTTGCTTTTTTTTTTTTTTTTTTTTACAATTTCACAGAATTTTCATCAAGTTTATTTCCCCTGAGCAAGAGAGCTTGCTGTCCCTTTTCCCCAGATTTGGAAGACGCCGCGGTGGGGAGGACAACTCCGGCGGAAATCAGGGTTATTGACAGCGGCGGCGGCGGCGGGGAAATTAGGGTTTGGGGGTTTTCTCTAGATTTCTTCCGTTCAGGCTCTATTATGTTCTATTTATGATGTGGATCTGGTAGTTTGTTTAAGAATCGAGAAATTCTCTTTAGCTAATCGAAGACTTCTATGTGAATCTGTAGTTGGTTGAAGAATGGGGATTTCCTATGTTTAATATTATTATTAGCTAATTATCGGATATTATTATTATCAGCGGTGTGTTTTGTTGTTTTTTTTCTCCTTTTAAATTAAATTTCTGTCTTTTTTGTTGCCAAGAAATCCATTCAATTTAAACTAAATGCCCTCTTATCGAGTTTGTTCTGGACTTGTACGATCTCTATCATCAATCACCATAATCCCAAACAAATTAACGCCGTTTCGGTAAGGGGCTAACCTACAGTAAGGGTCTTTAATTGACAGCCTAATCATATTTGTCAATTTAAGAAATAAAAGATGACCGATCATCAGAAAAACTCTTTTAACCAATCATCAAAAAAAAAAAGAGACCGATTTCACATATATAAACACAGTAGATAAATTTCAGCATCCAATCAAATTGTACAATTTCCCCAAGCCGACAGGATGAAGATGAACTGACTGAACCGAATTGGAGGGCAGAGAAAAATGGAGATTGCCGCCCCATATGCGGCGATGGTCGTAGCTCAGACAGCTCAAGTGGGCTTAATCATTGTAAGTAAAGAAGCCATGTCAAATGGGATGTCAAATTTCATCTCTGTCTCCTACTCTAATGCTCTCGCCGCCCTTATTCTGCTTCCGGTTTCATTCTTCATCCACAGGTACCCCCCAAATCACTATATATTCTTGTGTCTTTTTCGTAAAGATCGCATTTTTTATTGATATAGTTGTGAAATTTTAACATGGTCTATGTTAAATTGGTTTTCCTCAGCTATAACCTGCGGTTCTATATTTGTAACGCACAATTTAATTTGATACTCGTGAAAAGTGCAAATATCAGACGCAATTCAGTTGAGTCACTAGCAGAAAAGCCCAACTGAGCTCAAAATCATAGGCCCAATAATTGGAAGCCCAACTGCTTTTGGGGGATTATTGGAAGTTGGGAATTCCATCTCTACTTCACTCTTTTCATCAAGAGTAATGTCCCTAATTTGTATTTTAAATTTGGGAAAAAAAATAATATTTTTATCCTTTACAAAATTATTAACATCACCATTTTGTTTCTGTCCTTTAGTCAAAACTGAACTTTAGTTGTTGACTTTTCTAGGAGTAAAAACCAATCAATCGTAAATTTTCATCCAAAAAGGTTAATATTAAAAGTTAGTCCAAACTATCTATATTAGCTGGCGTCCAAACTATTTACCTTTTTATATTTATTTCAATAACTTTAAAAAAAATCTTCAAATCATATCATCAATTTATATACATACACGTTTATGTATACTACATGTAGTTGTGTTTATGGAAATAAAAAATGGGAAATGATAATGAAAATTGGGTGTAACAAGAATGAAATATAAGAGGGAAGAAAGTAGTGGGAAATTTTGGGAGGAGTTGTTGAGTGATTATGAACTTGCAAACAGCAGAAAGGAACGAGTAACGACATACTATTCAGTGGTCCTGAATTTCTTTTGCTTTTTCACAGGAAAAAAAAAAAAACTGAGTAAAGAAATGTTTGACTCCCGTACACAACACATAGAGAGTAGTTTTTTATTTTGAAAATTGGCAACCTGGGATTTCACATTTCCCAGATTGATTTTTGGATTTATATTCCTTTTTGTACATAGACTCTGGCCCCAGTTTAATTGACTAGATGAGGACCAGATTTCTGTCTCAAAACAAAAGGTTTTCCCTGCTCTCTCAATCGCTGCTCTGCCTCAATGAGTCAGCTCCGGTGAGCCCAACTGCAAATTTCCGGCCAACAACTTGGCGGGATGGCATCGATCAAATAAAACAATTTTCATTATTCATTCTCCTGCAACTTTATTGTCCAATTTTGATTTTTATTTTAAATAAAAAAATTGAATTAAAAACAATTTTAAGATGCAGCTCATTAAATATCATTATTTTTACTTACAATATTTTAAAAACAATTATAAAGTGCATGGAAATGTAATTTTCGTGCTTTGTTGTCATGTCGCGAAATGAACATATATAATACCAAGTTATTCCTTCATATAAATTTAGGAATAGTTCTCCCATCCCTAAAAATAACATACTCGCTTTATTAGCAAAAGGTTAGACTATCGGTTATTAGTTATCACTATCCCGAATCCGTAATCCTTGGTTGATATATCATAGCCGGAGATGTGATGACCATCATAATAGAATAAATAAAATGAACCACGCGCGATAATAATACAAATAACGTCACCACTCACCATAATGGCTCACTTTTACAGTAAGGGAAACTGCCAATTTCGTCTTTTGAATCCCTGTCCACGAACAAGTCTTCCGTCGGACTCAATGGATCAAACCGGAAAGATTTACAACCTTCCCACGTTACTTTTTATGTTCGTCGTAATTCCCTCAAATTGTAGTAGCTTGGACTTGCCACTGAGTAGTAGCTTTTGATTACAGAAACTGGTAATGATAATAATAATAATAATAATAAATTTACATTATCTTTTTATTTAATATGTAAATATGAAGGAGAAAACCTGTAGTTTGCAAAGAAGGTCGGCCATTCCTAACGAGTATGTTTACACATAAGTTTAATAATCCTTGGAGGAAGGGTGCAACCATGCATGCATGCATGCACATGTACGTACATACACATACATGCAGCTAGATAAGAGGAGTGGTGCCAAGTGGCAAACCATCATCATAAAAAAGACACACGCGCGCGCGTACTACCAGCTTATGTGACACATAAAATTAAAAGTTTCCAAACACATTATTTATGACACATATGAAATCCAATTTCAAATGGGGAAATAGTTGTCCACATTAGTATTTATGAATGTTACAAAATCTCGTATTGTTTCATGCTCTTGTGTATATTAAAAGAAAAACCGCTAGTATTGTTTAATTCAGTTTGGGATTTGGAAAGAATCGTTAACGGTTACAAAAACTGATAATATGTAGTACCATAGACATAATTTCACTATTCATCCTCAATTTCTGCGGCTTAACGATTGAGTTTTGAGTGTGTTATATAAACATAGTAAATCAATAATTCAACATGACTAATGGGAATAATAATATAACTAGATATGAAACAAACATTAATAAAGACAAAGAGCAGATAATATTACTACATAATTAATTATATACTACTTCTACAGATAATGTTGTTGGGGAAGGTGGGAAGAAATGAAAATATAAAAGAAACATGGTGGGGTAGTTGTGTCTTGGGAGGGTATTATCAAAAACAAAATAATCCTAAATGCAAAGTTTGCAAACCATACCATATTACTCCAGTCCAGGATATTATCAAAAACAAACCCCCTGATCAATTATTAAGTTATAAATCCAACATCAATACCCATTACTTTGATGCATTCCTTCACTCACATAAGCAAAATGCTGGTGATGATGATGGTAAGATGACATTGAGCTGTTACTCTCACCAACATCTTTCTCATCTTCTTCTTCTTCTTGGACGAGCTATGTTTTCTCTACGGAAAAAAGTGTTTAAAAAAAGAATAGAAAAAAGAGGGGAAGATAATAATAATAATAATAATAATAAAATGGCTGTAAAAATAAATAAAAACTAGTATGAAGTTGGTTTGAGGTCCGCAAGCAACACAAAACAGATTTGGAATTTGTTGTTAATATAACTAGATATTAAACCCGCACGATATGCGGGATAGATAAATTTATATTTGATTTTTCATTAAAGATATGTATATAAAAGAAAAGACGAAATGAAAAATGTTAAAGGTTTATTTTATTTGTTAAAGCGTAAAGATTATGACATATAAAACAATTAATATGGAACGAATTGAAGTATACAAAGAGGGGGGAAATATGGGGGAAGGGGGAATTTGCAATTTAATCGGAGTAATAAAGAACATGGGTAATTTAGTAATAAAAAACATGATTTAATCTATAAAATGTGATGAATAACACCTAAAGGTTTTTGACCTGATCTTAGGTTGTTTTTCACCATACCTGTGGCAAACTGAAAATAGAGAAAAAGGGAAAAAAAAAATAATGATAGATCTAATTAAAAAAATGCAAAATTTTTAAAACATACAATTATTTTTGAATGAATCTTAATAATCTTCGGTTTTTAGATATATGATACTACCTCTCTTCCAAAACAAATAGTCCATATTGAGTTTTTAAATTTGTACTAAAAATACTACAAAACTCAAAACTCAATGTGACTATTTTTTTGAACTAGGAGTACATCCTTCAAAATTACAAAGAAAATCATTTTCTCTTTGTAGCTTAAACTCATTGGCTTCCCGTGAAAATTATAATCCTCCCATTAAACATACCAATTCATGTATAATCCTTCAAAACATGTACGACTCTATATTCAAAATTTTCATTCGAAAAATAATGAAAAATGAATTATTTGATAGAAGCGTTTACCCAAAAAATAAAATAAAAATCAGAAGTGACTAACGTCATTATCTTTCCTGTTTGAAAGCTTTTCGACATCTGCAATGAGAACTTCAATGTCGTCAGGAATATAATCAAAAAACTCATCCATCATCAAGTAGGGATATTTTTCATTTTCCCCCTTACAATTAAATTTAATCAAAGTACATAAATTCAAGGCTATAAAGAACATAAAGATTAATTTAATCAAAGAAAAGGAATTAGGAATACAATTCGATCATGGTTTGAACGGGCGTCTCCATCTTGTTGCAGCTTTCCCTGGTCTTCCCCCTCCATCTTTGACTCCGGAAAGACGCAAAATACGTATGAAGATGACCATCTAATCTACCTCTTCAACGTTTGCCCGCTCAACAGAGTCATCCATGTTAAGGTATATATATCATACTACTTCCATTTCTTTTGTATCAATTAGTCATTGTTAAATAATTAAAGAATTCAAATCGTCATTAATATTCGAATTTATGCATGATTCTTTGAAACACAATTTGGGTTACACAAAATCATGAATGTGGTCATGATTTTGTCAACATATAAAGTAAATTAAGCTATGTTTTACTTAAATTATTAAATTTAAATTTCAAAAAACATCATGCAATCAATTCGTGGATTTTGAATAATTAATTTTTGTAGTTAATGTTTTTGAATTCAACAAAGATATCATTAATTCTTAAGGCAAATTCAAATTATTTATTTATGATATTTATTATCATTGAGATGAGATTTTATTTCCAATTTCAACTTCCATCACATTGATTGTATAGGATAATTGCTTAAGATGGTCCCATATCAACCAAAGGTAGATGAAAGATTTTCATTAACTTTTTAAATGTAATTTGTTAAACCTTTATTTACGTAAAATTCAAAAGACTAATAGTATAATTATGCAAAATATTATTTGAGACGTGCATTATAAAAATGCCACATAGATGTTGATTGATTTGTTTTTTTTAAAAAAAATAGGGATTATGTTCTTTTTTCTTTCTTTTTTTTTGATGAGAAATAATTACTTTGATAGGGAGTCATTGATGACTTTGTATTAATCTTTATTTTGAATTTCAAAAAAAAATCTTGTGTAGTGATGAAATTAATTTTTAAAGGCATAATTATGTGGCAATTGGAATCGAATCAATCAAGATTAATGTAGTTTTTCAAACTTTGTTCCCTTTTAAAAATTTTCCTCTCACCGAATGCGTTTATGAGTTTGACCACGAATGTTATTACTATACATTAATTGTGTAATCAATTAACTATTGCTTTTTGGGAAATTCAAAGACTTTTATTGCAATTGTTGTAAATATTTTTTATGCCCACCAATAGAAAAATGACACATAAAATTTTGTCCTATGTGTCAACGGGAGGAGAAGTTTTATTCCCTCTCTCTGGTTTCTCTCTTAGTATAATACTATAGATAGATAATAATAATAATAATAATAATAATAATAATAATAATAATAATAATAATAATATAAAAAGGTCTTATTTCCACACCCAAGACCCAACAGATCCAATCTCAATATTGCTTTATTTTCTCTCACCTTCTCTTTGTCTGGTTCTCCTTTTCTGTCTGGTTCTTCTCTCTAATCTCATACTCTCACTTTCTCTACCCACATATTTTAACATCAACCCAGTCGCCAACCATGGACGGAGGCCGCAGTGTGATCATGTCTGCCGTTGGAGTTTTTTGTGTGGTTGATATGTATGTTGTTTAAATTTCCCCTTTGTCTTGTTTTGTTGGGTTTGTTCTCTTAGTTTGATATATACCGAATTCAATAGTAATAATCATTAACTTTTCCTTTTGCTTTTTTTTTTTTTTTTTTACAATTTCACAGAATTTTCATCAAGTTTATTTCCCCTGAGCAAGAGAGCTTGCTGTCCCTTTTCCCAGATTTGGAAGACGCCGCGGTGGGAGGACAACTCCGCGGAAATCGGGGTTATTGACGGCGGCGGCGGCGGGAAATTAGGGTTTGGGGTTTTCTCTAGATTTCTTCCGTTCGTGCTCTATTATGTTCTATTTATGATGTGGATCTGTAGTTTGTTTAAGAATCGAGAAATTCTCTTTAGCTAATCGAAGACTTCTATGTGAATCAGTAGTTGGTTGAAGAATGGGGATTTCCTATGTTTAATATTATTATTAGCTAATTATCGGATATTATTATTATCAGCGGTGTGTTTTGTTGTTTTTTTTTTTCTCCTTTTAAATTAAATTTCGTCTTTTTGTTGCCAAGAAATCCATTCAATTTAAACTAAATGCCCTCTTATCGAGTTTGTTCGGACTTGTACGATCTCTATCATCAATCACCATAATCCCAAACAAATTAACGCCGTTTCGGTAAGGGGCTAACCTACAAGAAGGGTCTTTAATTGACAGCCTAATCATATTTGTCAATTTAAGAAATAAAAGATGACCGATCATCGAAAAACTCTTTAACCAATCATCGAAAAAAAAAAGAGACCGATTTCACATATATAAACACAGAGATAAATTTCAGCATCCAATCAAATTGTACAATTTCCCAAGCCGACAGGATGAAGATGAACTGACCGAACCGAATTGGAGGCGAGAAAATGGAGATTGCCGCCCATATGCGGCGATGGTCGTAGCTCGACAGCTCAAGTGGGCTTAATCATTGTAAGTAAAGAAGCCATGTCAAATGGGATGTCAAATTTCATCTCTGTCTCCTACTCTAATGCTCGCCGCCCTTATTTCGCTTAGGTTTCATTCTTCATCCACAGTACCCCCAAATCACTATATATTCTTGTGTCTTTTCGTAAAGATCGCATTTTTATTGATATAGTTGTGAAATTTTAACATGGTCTATGTTAAATTGGTTTTCTCACTATAACTGCGGTTCTATATTTGTAACGCACAATTTAATTTGATACTCGTGAAAAGTGCAAATATCGACGCAATTCGGTTGAGTCACTAAAGAAAAGCCCAACCGAGCTCAAAATCATAGGCCCAATAATTGGAAGCCCAACTGCTTTTGGGGATTATTGGAAGTTGGGAATTCCATCTCTACTTCACTCTTTTCATCAAGAGTAATGTCCCTAATTTGTATTTTAAATTTGGGAAAAAAAATAACATTTTTATCCTTTACAAAATTATTAACATCACCATTTTGTTTCGTCCTTTAGTCAAAACTCGAACTTTAGTTGTTGACTTTTCTAGGAGTAAAAACCAATCAATCGTAAATTTTCATCCAAAAAGTTAATATTAAAAGTTAGTCCAAACTATCTATATTAGTCAAGCGCCCAAACTATTTACCTTTTTATATTTATTTCAATAACTTTAAAAAAAATCTTCAAATCATATCATCAATTTATATACATACACGTTTATGTATACTACATGTAGTTGTGTTTATGGAAATAAAAAATGGGAAATGATAATGAAAATTGGGTGTAACAAGAATGAAATATAAGAGGGAAGAAAGTAGTGGGAAATTTTGGGAGGAGTTGTTGAGTGATTATGAACTTGCAAACAGCAGAAAGGAACGAGTAACGACATACTATTCAGTGGTCCTGAATTTCTTTTGCTTTTTCACAGAAAAAAAAAAATCGAGTAAAGAAATGTTTGACTCCGTACACAACACATAGAGAGTAGTTTTTTATTTTGAAAATTGGCAACCTGGGATTTCACATTTCCCAGATTGATTTTTGGATTTATATTCCTTTTTGTACATAGACTCTGGCCCCAGTTTAATTGACTAGATGAGGACCAGATTTCTGTCTCAAAACAAAAGGTTTTCCCCGCTCTCTCAATCGCCGCTCCGCCTCAATGAGTCACTCAGGTGAGCCCAATCGCAAATTTCCGGCCAACAACTTGGCGGGATGGCATCGATCAAATAAAACAATTTTCATTATTCCTTCTCCGGCAACTTTATTGTCCAATTTTGATTTTAATTTTAAATAAAAAAAAATTGAATTAAAAAACAATTTTAGTATGCAGCTCATTAAATATCATTATTTTCACTTACAATATTTTAAAAACAATTATAAAGTGCATGGAAATGTAAATTTTCGTGCTTTGTTGTCATGCTGCGAATGAACATATATAATACCAAGTTATTCCCTTCATATAAATCTAGGAATAGTTCTCCCATCCCTAAAAATTTACATTATCTTTTTATTTAATATGTAAATATGAAGGAGAAAACCTGTAGTTTGCAAAGAAGGTCGGCCATTCCTAACGAGTATGTTTACACATAAGTTTAATAATCCTTGGAGGAAGGGTGCAACCATGCATGCATGCACATGTACGTACATACACATACAGAAAATCTCGGTTCTCCCTCTCTATTTTATACACCATAATTCTCATTTCTTCCACCTCCTTTCATCACATCACTACTAATAATTCCTCTGCTCTTAATTTACTACACTCATTTGAATTGTTATATGCATTTAGGGTAACAATAATCATTCACGCATTGTGTAATTCCACCCTAATAAGTTTAAATTTTAATAGTCATTATTATTGAAATTTAACTCCGATATACAAATATATTGAAGAGAAAAAGGGGGGAAAAGTTGTTTTACTTTCTAGTAACCCCATAAGCAGGGTGTTGCCTTTGGTGACCGGAAATTGGTTTTGGGTCACCGGAGGAGATGCAGAACACACAAAAAAGAACCTCTTTTTTGTTAGATAGTTAGGAGACAACAAATTTCGTCTTCCCTTCCAAAAATAAAAATTCGTCTTTGTATTCAAAAACCAATAACGTTGGGGGATATGGACCACCTGCCAAAAAAGATATGAATACAAAAGGGCATGTGATAGACCGAATCGTCAAATCAAAAAGCAGTTCTAAAGCTAAAAAAAGCCAACAAATGAAAATCAATCAAATATTCAAAACCTTTGTCATTATCAGCCTCTCACCCTCCCAAGACACAACTACCCCACCATGTTTCTTTTATATTTTCATTTCTTCCCACCTTTCCCAACAACGTTATCTGTAGAAGTAATATATAATCAATTATGTACTAATATTATCTGATCTTTGTCTTTATTAATGTTTGTTTCATATCTAGTTATATTATTATTCCCATTAGTCATGTTGAATTATTGATATACTATGTTTATACAACACACTCAAAACTCAATCGTTAAGCCGCAGAAATTGAGGACGAGTAGTGAAAAGAGGGAGTGGTGCCAACATAATTTCACTACTCATCCTCAATTTCTGCGACTTAACGATTGAATTTTGAGTGTGTTGTATAAACATAGTATATCAATAATTCAACATGACTAATGTAAATAATAATATAACTAGATATGAAACAAACATTAATAAAGACAAAGATCAGATAATATTACTACATAATTGATTATATATTACTTCTACAGATAACGTTGTTGGGGAAGGTGGGAAGAAATGAAAATATAAAAGAAACATGGTGGGGTAGTTGTGTCTTGGGAGTGTGAGAGGCTGATAATGACAAAGGTTTTGAATATTTGATTGATTTTCATTTGTTGGCTTTTTTTAGCTTTAGAACTGCTTTTTGATTTGACGATTCGGTCTATCACATGCCCTTTTGTATTCATATCTTTTTTGGCAGGTGGTCCATTTTATTTTTGAATACAAAGACGAATTTTTATTTTTGAAAGGGAAGACGAAATTTGTTGTCTCCTAACTATCTAACAAAAAAGAAGTTCTTTTTTGTGTGTTCTGCATCTCCTCCGGTGACCCAAAACCAATTTCCGATCACCAAAGGCAACACCTAGCTTGTGGGGTTACTAGAAAGTAAAACAACTTTTTCCCCTTTTTCTCTTCAATATATTTGTATATCGGGGTTAAATTTCAATAATAATGACTATTAAAATGTAAATGTATTAGGGTGGAATTACACAATGCGTGAATGATTATTGTTACCCTAAATGCATATAACAATTCAAATGAGTGTAGTAAATTAAGAGCAGAGGAATTATTAGTAGTGATGTGATGAAAGGAGAAGGTGGAAGAAATGAGAATTATGGTGTATAAAATAGAGAGGGAGAACCGAGATTTTCTGATTACTACTTATTTTGTTGACAACTGGTATCATATCACGTGTCCCAACAAAACTTTTCGTATTCTTTTGTTGTTGTTAGTGGTCCTCACATGCCCAAAACCTACTACATTAATCCCCCCTCTCCTCTCTTTTAGGGTTTACGTACACTTAAACATGTAAATAATATTCGTGGATATCACAAATTAATCATTCTAATTTTTTTTAATACATTTTGAATTTAGAGTGAAAATATAAAATTAAACAATCATTTAGGGATTCATTGAGTTGTTCTAATAAATTCCCAAATGACTAATTAATGAATCACTCACTGTCTCTTAAATATAGACATGCATGCAAAATCTAATCTTGAGCCAATTTATATAGTTTTCTATTATACCTGCGTATGACTAAATCACAATGATTTTTCTTCAAGAAAAATAACTGCACTTAACGAGGTTACATAAATCACTCACTGTCTCTTAACTATAACCATCTCTGACATTGTGTCACATACCATTCATTACACGCACCAATATGTCACATACCAATATTGTACATGTAATAGTTGAAAGTTTTGACAGTAAAATTCACATGTTAATCGGGGAAAAAGAAAATGACAATTACATCTACGCCAAGGTTTTTTTTACTCGTGAAATTAATAAAACCTTTTATATGATTTCATAATTTTTTTTTATGTTTATCTTCGTGGTTTCATGGAATTAACTTCGTTCACATTATTAGTAAAGAGATTAAAAAAGGGGGTAAATCATCAATCACAAAAGGACATATAAAAAAGAAACACACACACACACAAGAGTTCTTACTTTGACTAACAAATCAACTCCACCTTGTATAATATAAATACACACACATACAAATATATATATATATAAAGGGTAATAGCCTAATAATCATCAATGGCGTCTGGTTCTCCCAAAGGTGGTTGTTAGTTATTACTCTCCGGTTTAATCTTTTAGTATCATTTGGGCAATGATTTCAAAGTGATTAAATTAAAATTCAGAACTTATTCAACGCCTTTAATGCGTAAAATTAGAGAGGTTAGGGAGTCATTCCCCCAAGAAAAGAAAAGTAATGTATAACAGAATGCATGATACATTATCGTAAAAGAAAAAATAATACGAACATATTAAAGCAAATGTATGTGTGAGTTGCCAAGAAATGTGTAATCAAATAGTAATAGTTGTCACATTTGTACAAAATTCATATTTGTATCAAGAAATCTGGTACGAAGTTGTTTAAATTCAGAAAAGGCTACGTGCGACATCAATTCAGTTTGACATAGTAATTTCACTACCCCCATCATCATCGTCACCAATTTGTGCGCCAAACGGGTTCAGTACTATTGAGGTGTGTTGTATAAATATATATCAATATGACTAATTATAGGGAATAATAATATAATTATTCAAGGGGATCTGAATATGAAACAAACATTTAGTGGGGAGAAAGAGGATCTAGTATTGCAACTTCCTTAATTTGATACGATTAAATAGACAATGTTGCGTTTGGGATATAATCTATAAAAATCGGAAGAAATGAAATATAAAAGGGGTGAAAGTAGAGGGAAATTTGGACGAGGGAGTTGTTGAGTTGAGTGATGACCAACGATAAGCCA